CGGTATGAAAGTTGTAGGACGGGCACGTGCTTGCCAATTTGTTCGCCGCACGTGCCACCAATAAAACCACGTCAAAATATTGTACATAATTTGAATAGGCCAATTATTTGCCCTCTCATCGGGTAACGCCCATACTTCGAGAGGACGAGTCTATCGAATCGGTCATCGCTTTAATTTATCGGTATTGTGTTTTACACGAACCATTTCAAAAGCTATTTCCGGTTCTGCGGATCGATTCGTTGGAGGGACAGGGGGTAAGGGACGAATCAAAGTTTTACGTTCGAATGTAAAATTTTTACGATCGAAAGATCATTTCGAAATATCCTTTCAAAAAAATGTATATATATAGGTATTTTTTTTTTTTATCAACGTCATATTTTCAATAGGAATTATAAGAAGATTTTGAATTCCCAAAGTGAAAACTTTCGATGACTTTGATCGTTATCACGTTCTCCCAATCACATCGGTGATTCGCAAGGAAGACTCAGTGGCACGGCGCATAGATCAAAGACAAAAATTGTCGATGCTCCTCGTTCGAGTTAGAGGGATCTAGTCCGATCACGAAGGGTCACCATATCGGTTGGGCGTGGTCGAAATCTGTCACACTTGCCGACAATAAATCGTGTTCCTTCACGAATTCATCCCCACTCTCTCTCCCCATCCCGAATTCTATACCTTTTTCAAAGAAATTTTCTCGTATTTGTGAAATTACTATCGTCGGACGCATTCGTTTTGTTACACTTATTTTCTCTCTCTCTCTCTCTCTCTCTCTCTCTTCCTTTCTTGTTTTTCTTTTTTTTTTTATATTATAATATTCAATAAAATTGTTAACAATTAAAAATACGTGAGATCAATAAATTCCTACTAAAATTTGTCAACGCTTTGTTGATTGTAATCCGATCAAAGGCGTATCTCTATACGTCCCGTGTACACTCATATGCACATCTGCAGGATGAAGAAATTAATGGGCGGACTTCCCATCTGGACATGCCGAAATGGAACACTTCGACACTCAGATCAACATGATATTTTTATAATTTCAATGTATCAACAGTTGAAGTAACAACAATGGCATAATTAATCGCGTGAAATTTTGAGAGAAAAAAGAAGAAGAAGAAGAAGAAAAAAGAGGAAAAAGACAAAATCTTCGGTGACTTTTCTAATTTAAAATTTGCCAAAGAACGATGAAGATAGATCGTCGTCGATTCGATTGGTAAAAAAGGAGAAAAGAAAAAAAAACAGAAAGAGAGAAAGAAAAAAAGTCGACGAAAAGAGATAACAATCTAGATCGCCCTTAGAAAATTCAACGACCTGCATATGGTCCACGTAGATACTAGGGATACATGGTACCTATAGTTAGTGTATAAAATCTAATCTAATACTTAGGATCTACCCTTTATAAATTAGATCGATCGAGCGGCGAGCGAGTCGTGTACAAATAGCGGTTTGACGTTACATGGAAATCCACGTGGAATTGAAGAGCGGCGCCAACGCGATCTCGTTCGTGTATGTACTCGTGATACGATGTGTATCTATATACATTGTGAAACGATATCGAGTTATCTAAGCATCGATCATTTTCTTCCTTTACCCCTTCGGACAGAACCAAAATCTACGGTACTTTTATCGAGTGAGATAATTCTTTTGGATTTCTTCCCTTTTACGATAGATATCTACTACGATTATTAGGTCGCGATACTCGACGCGACGAACTTTCTCGAAAGTTTAGTCTCTCGGGTAAAACGAGACGAGTTTAAACCGTATCACGCGAGAGAGATTCTATCTAGAAATTTATTTAAGAAAATAACAACTTTTACATTCCCACATAGTGATATTTCGTATGTAACGAACTATGTGATTATGAAAAAAAAAAAAAAAAAAAAAAAAAAAAAAGAAAAGAAAAGAAAAAAAAAAGAAAGAAAGAAAAAAAAGAGAAGAAGAGAATGAATTATGATCGCCATGGGAAACTCTTCAAGATGGGCGTAACCGAGAATAACAATGAACGAAACCCTAAATAAAAAAAACTTTTGGTCGTGAATTGGCCCGCTTTTAACACCGACGCGCGAGCGTACGCGCTTTTTTGCGTTCACCACCGTCGAAATTATAGGCTGCAGGAGACGCGTGCCAGGGGCGTTCTATTTTCGAGAGATTGACATAGTCGGAATAATCGTTGAAAACCTTGGAGCGTTTGTCGATCCATGACAAAAGCAATGATAAAGGTTTATCGAGGACGCCTATTCGAAACGTCATAATCTCGTCTGTTGCCTCTCGCGTCATATTTATTATTCAAGACTTTTGATTGAATTTTCCAATGAGTTTCGCGATAACGAATACTGATGCGAGTCCTTGATATAACAATGCAAGAATGAAATTTTATCCGCGAGATTAATTAAAGAAGAAACGAAGCGATTTCGAGATGAATGAAGTAGTAACATTTCAATCCGCGAAAGTACGCCATTAGTTTCGAAAGAAAAATAAATAAGTAGGTTCGTTGGTATAGATATAAGAGAAAATAGTGGTACACGAATTATCTGCAGGCGCAGGTGGGTCAGGCTTGGGTGTACGTTACAATCAAATCCCGAAAAAGGGGAAAAGAATTAAAAAAGCTATCTGCAGCAGGATAATAAAAAAGAAAATAGAAAAATGTAGCTCGGTAGAGAAGAGGAGAAAAGGGGGAAAGAGAGTGGAACGAGATGGGAGGGTCGAAAGAGAAAGAGAGGTTCCAAGTGGGAAAGACGAGGAGGAGAAGGACGACAACGACAACGACAACGACGATGACGACGACGACGACGAGGACGACGACAACAACAACGACGACGACGACGACGACGACGACGACGACGACGACGACGACGACGACGACGACGACGACGACGATGATGAGAGCGCGAACGAGGATGGGGTTGACGGTTGTGGTGGTGGTAGTAGCGTCGAAGGTGGTCGTGGTGGTGGTAGTAACGTCGAAGGTGGTGGTAGAAAGGCACGGATGTCCCTTTACTCTCTCCTCCGAGGCACGTCCCAGCATCATCCACGATGCGATCGGTGTTCGTGAGGATGCTGCGCGTCGGCGCGAATGTGTGCGCCCTGTAAACGCGTGGAAAAGGCTCGTGGATAGGAGTAGGGTGGGAAGAAAATCGCTCGCAGGCTATTTTCCGGTGGAATTTTTATTGGTGGGTCCGCCATTTTGGCAGGGGAGTGGGAGTAGGATGAGGAGGCAAAGAGGAACGACGATTGGCCGTTGCCGGAGCAACGCATCCCCCTCGCGTCCAATCGTGCTTTGGAGAATCTCGTGGCTGGCAACTCGCGAAGGAGGGAGGGAGGGTGTGGAAGAGCCGGCCGGTGGAAGAGAGAGTACGACGCCTCGTAGAGTACGAGGGTGTTCGCGAGGGTGCTCTCGCTGCTGCTATACTATACTAGGCTACAACTACTACCACTACAGCTACCACTATCACACTAAGCGTATCCTGGTACGCGCTAGCTACGTAGGCCGCTAGCTACGGTGGTACACCGATACTACTCTCCTCCACGCCTCTCCTCGTCTGCTCCTTCTCGCTGCTCCCCGCGCGGACTCACCGGGATAACTGCATTTCGCGGACAGAATCCCACAAGAACTCACGGCGAGCGGTCGCCCCTCTGCGCCACGGCCGACACTCTTCGTCGTCGTATCGTATCCCATCGGTTTTCGACTTTTCCCTTCCGCGTAAACGTTTCCCGTCCGACGCACGACGTTCCCGATAAGAGTATACGAAAGCAAAGGAAAAGAAGGATAGTCCGCCCGTTACGCGTCACCCTTCGCCACGTCCTTTCCTTCCGTTCGCAATCTTTTCAACTTACCGTATCTATAACCAATTAAATTCTTCCACGAGTACCGACTTCTTTCAAACTCGTGCTAATTCTTTTCAAACATCTGATCAAAGATTATTTTAATTTTCAAGGCCGCCAACCAGCACCGCGACCCCTTCTCCTCCTCGATCTCCACCGCTTCTCTCCTCCGTCCCAATCTCTTCCGCTCGTTCGCCCTCCTAATTGGATCCAAGAGATAATAAGATTTGAATTTCGAATCGGGGTCATATCGCGATAAACCGACCGCGTTTCCCGTAGACGTTGAGAATCCAACATCATATCTTTCCTCCTCTTCTTCTTCTTCTTCTTCTTCTTCTTCTCCTCCTCCTCCTCCTCCTCCTCCTCCTCCTCCCTCCTCCCTCCTCCCTCCTCGTCCTTTTCCTTTCTCAATACTTGAAATACAAATAAAAACTTCTTCCTCCAGTCATTCGTAAACTCGTCGGTATTCGCGTAAATACGTCGTCGTATCGAAGTTACCAAAACGTTACGATAAGAACTTATTCGGGAGGTCATAGACAATCATACATGGAACTCGACTAACACCAATAACGTTCTAAATCAAGAATAGAAAAGCAAGGAGTTACAGTGATAATAAGCGACAGTGATATAAAGAGGCAACGCGAGAGCATCGTCCTAAAAGGTGGTATTGTGTTACGGGAATAGAGGAAAGCCTATTACCTAGAGTGCCAAATGCCGAAGAGGAAATAATTGTAAAAGAGGAATAATTATAAAGCCAAAGTAGAAGAAAGAAGTTTTAAAGTTCCTAGTCTCCTATATATAGAGGAATAATAATAATAAAACGATTTGGACTATTTGTTCGCGCGCCTAAAAAAGGACAGAGGCATGCAGTGGTAAATAAGAAAGGGGTGTCAGGTGGTGATTAATCGTCGCAAGAGCTCTCGAAGGAGCTCGGTAAGGTCGCCCCCGGCATCACCCTGGCTAACGACCTGTCCGGAGGTAGCGGTGGTCCCGGTGCGGCCGGCGTCGGCACCGTCGGTGGGACCGTCGGTGGGACATCCGTCGGCGGCGGCGCCGGCGGCACCGCTGGTGGTGGTGGCGGTTCGTCGCTACCGACGACCGCCCTTAGCCTCGATCATCAGCAATTCAATATATTCCCGGCTATATTTAGCCGGCAATTAAACTTTTCTGCCAATTGCGGTCAGAACAAGCTGATGGACGAGCTAAGGCCGAATCTCGGCCTACTCGGAGTTGGTCTAGTAGAGAACGACAGCTTCCATTTGAATCACAATCAGGAAAAGAGAAAGTGTAGCAGCGCGAGCTCGAACGAACAAGACTTTGGGCTCTACGGGGTGCACCAGGGCCTCGAAGCTAGCCCGCCGACGCCTGCGGCTACACCGGGAAGAAGCAGCGTGGGGGCCACCACTACCGTCGGTACGTATTCCCATTGCTATTAGATTCGATACTAATTTTCGACACGTAACAGTTATGATAACAAATATGCGATTTATAAAAAGTGCATTAAAAAACAATATATCAATTTGATAGGCTGATAAACGATTTATTTCTATCAACGAGATCTAACGAAATCCCTTTTCGATGCATACCAAAATTAATAAAAAGAGAAAGAACAAAGAAAAAAAAAAAAGAAAGAAAAAAATGACTTTTTCCTTTGCGAGAAAAGTGTACATCGTTTGGTCATCGAGATAGACGAATTTTACGCTTATTGAGCTACAAAGAGTGCAGGCGTGCCGCACGGTGGTGAGACGCGTACGAACGAAAAGTATCGACAATGAGAGACACCCGGGTAGACATATGGTACTACCTGTTCTATGGGCTATTATTATGCGCTCATGGGGCTTAAGAGAGCTTAGCACTAGGGGTTCGCTAATGGGGTAGGCTCGAAACATCGAACATTGAGCGGACGCATGTCGAGTCTTGTCATCCATGTCTCTTCGAAAGGACTCTCCACGAGTACGATCTCCTCTATCCCTTTGCCCCCTTTCATTGTTCTCTTCTCTCTTCAACGCGAACTCGATCGCTCGACTTTTCATACTTACACGATTGTTTTCACGATCAATTTTATTTAATCTTTATTCTTTAACACATTTTTGTTTACTTTGATTTCTCTGTGTTCTTTTCTTTTTTTATATGTATATATTTGGAACAAGTGCGTAAAAGCGAGGAGAAAGACAGATAGAGAGAGAAAGAGAGAGAGAGAGAGAGAGAGAAAAGAAAAATTAATTTTGTCAAGTTGCTAGCATATCCAAAGACATTAAATCGTTTAATAAATTTTATAAAGTTATAATCCAAATATTCAGAACATTGTTGGCTTCCTAAGTAATTTCAGTCCAAAGGATTTATTCTAGGATTTTTAAAAAGATAATCTTAATCCCTCGGCAGATGCCGACGGGCAGCTGAAAAACCCGTACACATAGGTAAACCAGATAATTATTTGTCGGCCGATCAATGTCGTAGGATACCACGTGTTCTCTTCGTTAAAATCAGTCGCTAATTATTACTACGATCGCACAAAGCTAAGCTATAGAGATTCTCGAAGGCAGATGTTCTTTTAAACAGCCAAGAATTGTTATCTTCGTCCTTTCATCAACAAACTTCTGATATTTCCAGAATTATCGAGTACCAATTTGCAACAGCAACAACAACAACAACAACAACAACAACAACAATAATTTTATTCGTGTTTGTTTCGTTAAAACAAAAAATTCAATTAAAAATATCAAATCGAATTGAAATTATTCCGTATAAGGTTATTCCGTATGGAATATTTTGTTAATTTCTTCGTGTTCTCATGATATCAATGAAAAGATTTTTAAAAAGTCGCAAGAATTTATCTCTCTTTTTCGATCTAATAGAATAGAACTATCATTTGGCAATCGACGAGAAAATCAGACATTATGTTCGAAGGGAACATACGTTTGGGTATCACGATCGACTTCTTCATTGGAGAGTGGGGAAAAAAAAAAGCTTTGCTTGTTAATTAATGGGTCAGGAGTGTGTTGTTGGTAAGAATGAACGATACCTAGAGTCGAGGAAGGGCCGATAGAAAAGTCGGCCGACGGGGGCCCTTTGTGTTCTTTGATGAACTTGACCGAGTTTCCATGCTCACCAGGTAACGAGGGAAGGTATGTAAAGTGGACAGCATTCATCTTTGAACATTGAATCAGCATGTAACATGATTAGGTCATTAACGCCCTAATCAAGTTAGCATAGTGCGAGGGACTTCGCTCGCCATGGTTACACTGGCCGCACGTCCGTCGTTCGTTCATAAAGCCAGGACCATGAAATAACTAAGACGGTCATGGACTCTGTTCTAGATCGGAATCTAGATTTCGACTTTGCAACTTTACTATCAAATTCAAAATGATACATACAATTAGGCGAATACAAGGGAAGATACACTTATTATTGTCGATTAGTATTTTTTCTTTCGAACGACGTTCTATTTTCTTTCTTTCCTTTGTTTTCCTTATTTCTTTTTCCTTTTTTTCTTTTCTTTTCTTTTGCTACACAATCAATACGTCGCATCACTCAAAGGAAATAAAATACTTTTGATTAATTCCAAAGTACCATTCGTTTCGTTTCGTTTCGTTTACCTTCGAGTTTTGATGAGGAAAAAAAAAACAAACAAAAAAAAAAACAAAAACAAAAAAGAAGAAAGAAAAAACAAAAAATATTTCATCTCTTTTATTTTATAATCGTCCCGAAAGGAATATACGTTCAACGAAGTAAAAGAGTTTTCAGACTTTAGATTAACGCTTTATAAAAAGTACGTATGAAAAATTTAATATTGAAATGGGATATACCAAAAATGTATGATACCATAATTTACACTCTTCCGCACGTTGGTAGTACGTTTAGTATTATTTTACTCGCAAAAATCCTTTTACACACCGTAACAAAACTCTAACCGTATATATATATATATATACATGTAAATATTATATATTTACACACGTGCATCACACGTTAACCATTTCTCGTGGGTAGATTTTGAGGATAGCAATTTTATTTTGATGTCTCCCATGAAAATAAGCTTATCCAGTTATTTTATTGTAAATGCGGAGTGCGCAACATCAAACAACTCCATATTCATATCTCAAAATTGAAGTTCGGTAATTTAGATTACATTACCGCTATAACTTCGCCTATCCGCTGTCAAATTTTCAAAATGAAAATGAATGCGGCATATTTGCACGTCATACACCGAACGTACACGTCGACGCTCGTTCCAATAAATATTATATATATACATATATATATATATATATATATATATATATATATATAAAATATATATAATATACATTATACGAAAACATCATTTTGAAGTAACTTTCAAAGGACGTCTACATTATGCAGCTTTAAACGTATTACTTATACTCGATCATTCGTCGATGCGAATAATATCCTTATTTTACGAAATTTTCATTACGAACGCGAAGGAAACCAAACTATAAAAAAAAAATTAAAAAAATAAAAAAATATATAAAAAAAACGTAAATTCTTTATTATTTATGATAATTATCTATTTTGTAATAATCCCGTCATTCGAACTTTTGAACGTCAATTAATTTTTGCATTAATTTTAATACCATGTAAACATAATATATGAACCTAACAATGAACCTCATTGATTTTTCGAAACACTCATTAAAAGAGTATAATGCATTACTTATGATGAAAATAAACGGATTTACATGCATATATCAGGACATTTACGAACTTTATTTTAATAACCGCTATTTTACCACGCGTCGAATTCATTATCCTTAGCCATTTTATCCAGAAATATCCTAATCTTGTTTTTCTCCGTTTCAGGAGCCGAAGGAGCTTTTAAAAAATTAAAACCGGACCCTTGCGCCTCTAGCCCTCACATTGGCCACACACCCACCACCGCGAGTTGTCCTACACCGGCTCGACGTCGGCACAGGACTACCTTCACGCAGGTACGTTGAACTCCAAATTCTTTTCTATTTGTTAATGTCGATGACGATCGTTTTCGAAAATTTCTCCCTTCCGTAGGAAAAAAAAATAAAAAAAAAAAAAAAATAATAATAATAATAAAAGGGAAAGGGGAAAAAAAAGAGAAAGAAAGAAAAATTCGACAGCTCAATTCAAAAGCTTTTCGCGGTCGATGTCCAAATTTCCTCTCAACCAACACGGATCAATCTTTACTATAGCCTTCGATTGTTTCGCAGGAGCAGCTGGCAGAATTGGAATCGGCGTTCGCAAAATCTCATTATCCTGACATATACTGCAGAGAGGAATTGGCGAGGACCACCAAATTGAACGAGGCTAGAATTCAGGTAAGTCTATTGCGCTCTCGCTAATTAAGAGAAAAAGAAACGATGGGAAAAAATAAAAACAAAAAAAAAAAACAAAAAAAAAACAAAAAGGGAGACCACATTGAAATCTTTCAATCTTTGACGATAAGCTCGTTATGTGAATAATACAAAAACAAAAAAACAAAAAAAACAAAGAAAAAAAAAGAGGAAAACAGAAAATGGCATAGATCACGGAGTCATAAAAAAGCTCGATACAAAAGAAAATTTCACAATACCGTAACAATGGAGAAGTTTATAAAAAAGAAAGACAGAGTCCACGTAGCTATCGTTTCGAGGATGACTCACTGGGTAATCGAATCAAAGATGCATGCGGGGTAACAAAATGAAGTTACGAGCGCAAATGTCGATCCAAGACACCCCACGTTCTTCTAGGGGTTGATCGATCGGCAGGATCAGAATTATTTTACATAGGGACCCTCTCGTCTTTCGATCGACCATTACGAAACGTACTTTTCTTCGCGATACTATCATCCATTGTTCAGTCGAAGCTATTAATCCCTTTATACGAGAAATAGCATAAGTTTCGGTAAAGGCGAAACCAAAATACGAATAGAAATAATTTCAGATAGGTACATGGAAATAATTGTAAAGACGAAGTAACTGGTAAACGAATACTTGAACCATCGCGGTCACCGTCGGTGGTTTAGGTTTTTGCTGGTATTAGAAACATCCTCGAGATGAGAGAAAAGAGAGAATGAGAGAGAAAGAGAGAGAAAAAGAGGGAGAGAGAGAGAGAGAGAGAGAAATGAGAGTCTCACGGGTAGAAAGTCATTCGACTGTCGCAGCAAACCAACGGCACGCAGTAGTACCAACTGGCAGAGGACCAAGCGGCAGAACTCCGAGCGGTACATATTAAAACAGTCCGCCGGTGCGTTTCGCTCTTTTGATATATAATGCAGGGGAGTGTTGTTTCAGTTAAAAGCCCGGGAACCACTGCGACTTAACTCTGTTAAACTGCGATGCCAAGTAAAACGCGGTTTGCTTTTAGTCGCCCGGTTATAATCCATGCACAAAGTGTCCGAACCCAAGCGGCTTCACCGTCCGTACAAGACTTCGAACCTGTTGGTTTCAACCTCAAACACGAGCAATCCCCTAATTTTTTCAAATGTTACTTTGCTACCACTCGGGAGATTCCTTCATTTTCTAATACCATAGTGAGGACCGATTATTTCGATAATTTCTATCTATTTGACAACTTAAAGAAATTCAATTTCAAACCAAGAGACCAAGAGGGAGTCCAAGTTTGTGATGCTATATCGGCCAAGAGGTCGTAACAGTAGAGAAGAGAAAGAGAGAGAGAGAGAGAGAGAGAGAGAGGGCTAGATCTCGGTAGATCACTCGCAGTAGTTACAGCCGAGTTTGCGATCAGCCACGAGTACTATGTAGTTCTCAAGGAAAGTGCTTCGCAGTAGTATAGCTGGTAGGGCCGATGAACCACGTGGACTGATTACCGTCGGCCCAAGTAGTATAGGTCGGTGCTAAGTCGAGCGAAGTATTAGACACGATGAAAGTTTCCTCGCTTTCCAAAATCTACTCTAAAATTATAACTACGAAGATTTCTAATACCTTTTAATAAGTCCTATAACAAACAAAGTACGTATACGTACACATTTTTTTAATTGCTTCTTCATTTCTTTTCTCTCTCTCTCTCTCTCTCTTCTCTCTTTCTCTCTCTCTCTCTCTCTCTCCCTCTCTTTCTCTCTCTTTCTCTGTCTACTATATTATCAGGCATACTCGATAAACGAGAAAGAAGAGAGTAGGAAGTTGAAGCGTAACGGAGAAAGGAATGCTTAAAAATGTTGCGACGATAGTTACGGCATCCTGTTTCTACAAAGATGGCGATACGCGGGGGTGCAGTGGCAGGGGAATGGGAGAGAGAGAGAGAGAGAGAACGAGGGTGACAAAGTTGAGATGAGTTGGAGGTGGGGTTTGGGTGACGCTGTACCGGAGGCTGCCATTATATCTGAGCCGCCATTTTAAATTGAATTTTCTCCACCCTAGATAGATCTGAAACGTCTCGGCCTTGCGGGGTTCTTCCTTCCACTGCGCGACGACGACGAGACGAAGAGCCCGAGAGAGCGAAAGATAGACAGAGAGAAAGAGAGAGAGAGAGAGAGAGAGAGAGAGAGAGAGAAAGAGAGCGATAGAAAGAGGGTGGAGAGGAGAGAAAGAGAGAGAGTAACGATAGGAGGGTTCGGGGCCCCCTTTTTCTTCGCGACGCTACCTTCGCCTCTCATTTTTTTCTTTTTCCTTTTTTTTCCCTGTTCCTTTCTTTTTTTCTATCCTTTTTCTTTTATCCTCAGCCCCTTTTTTCGCGTCGGATAATCTCCAACACTTCTCTATCGACGATTCTACATCGCTTCGGGCGTTAGACGATAAAACTTGTCCCTTCATTTTTTGTACTTAGGACGTAAATGCAGTATGAAAAAAAAACAAAAAAAAAAAAAGAAGAAAAAAAATCAGAATTAATAATCGAAGAGGTATTCGAATAACACACGTACTATATTGATATCTCTTGTTCCACATTAATAAGACGTCTTGTGATCCCTTAATAAAAATGAAAACGACAAAATGCCAGAACGATTGCACAGAAATCCACAGGGAATGAAAAAAATAGTTAATAATTTGGTAGTTCGTCCTGAGTACGTAGAATCTCACGACCGAAGTGAGAAAAGGATAGTGTTTCTTTGTTAAAGAGCCAGTAAGAGGATATATGAAATGTGCCAGAAGGATAATGTAAAAAAAAAAAAAAAAAAAAAAAAAAAGAAAAAAAAGAAAAAGGGATAGTGCCACGGAGTAAGAGAATAATTCTCGAATCAAGGCACAAGAAATCCTATTATGCCGCGGAGAAGAAAAAGAAAGGAGAAGCCGAGATATTGAGTTAGCCGAGTTTTCATTTCACCTTTTTACTTCGATTCGACTTCCGATCGAAGCCTACCCACACAGTGCGTTCTCCCAAGAAAATCTTCCGGCTTCCCATCTGACGGGAAATAAGGAAAATCAGTGTGGAACAAAAAAAAATAAAAAAAGAAAAATATGAAAAGAATGAGAAAAAGAGAGAGAGAGAGAGAGAGAGAGAGAGAGAGAGAGAGAGAGAAAGAAAGAAAAAAAATATAAAAAGAAAAGGTACAAATCGTCGACGCACATCCCTAATTCAGTTTTCCACGATATTTTCGTTATGGGGTGGGGGTGAGGGAATGGGGATAACGGACGGGATGGACCGAGGATCGATATATAGTCTATGGTGTAATTTAATATTAGAAAAATTCTTTTCCTTTATTAGAGATATCTTCTTCCAAATATAACAACCAAATAATTATATTCGATTACATTTTTGACGTGTCAATGCAAAACGAAAACAAAAAAAAAACAAAAAAAAACAAAAAAAGAAAGAAAAAGAACGAAACAGAGAGCGAATCAAAAGTTATATTAGATGATTTCAAATATCAATCAACATTTCTCGAGACATTTTAATCTTACGATTTTACGAGATAATCTAATTATTTAACAATCTAAAAAAATGAAAAAGAAAAAAAAGAAAAAAGAACAATCGGCTTAAAAAATCTCGAGAAAGAGCAATCGATTTTTAAAATCACGTAAGAACTTTTGACCAATCTAAGAATTTCAGCCTCCTTCCTCGGCACCATGTATTCATCTTCGTTCACGAATCCATTGAAATTGAACGAAATTCATCGGGTGTTCGTATTAGTGGAGGGGAAAAAAAAGAAATAAAAAAAGAAAAAAGAAAAAAGAAAAGAGAAAGAATATAAAAAGAAAAAGAAAAAGCATCCTACTTTTCCCAAGACACTTAAAAGTTCTTAGTAGAAAGTCGCTATCAGAGTTCATGGTAGGTATTCTCTTAAGCGCGTGAAAGGATAGTTTTCTTCTAGTTGGGGTCCTCAAAGTAGCAGACATTTTGAGCTTCTCTCTCTCTCTCTCTCTCTCTCTCTCTCTCTTATCTATCTTCTTTACTCGTTCTCCTCACTTCATCGACCTATCCGTCTCTCCGTAGCTCCTTATTTCTGACTCTCCCTCTTCACCCTTCATCCTCGGTCCCTTTCTCTCGCTTCTTCCTTACCACCCTATCTTTCTCTAGGGCAGAAACGCTGGAGGGAGAGAAAGGGAGAACCGGAGAGCACGGTTATTGAATTACGAACTCTTAGCTTTCCAGTTCTTGCAGGGTGCGCGCCTTAAGGGACGCGCGCAAGTATGTTCTCAAAAAGCTCTTCGGTAGAAGAGCAGCAAATAAAAGGAGTCGACCTTTTACCGGCTCTCTCCGTAAAACCTATCTACCTACGTCTATCTACGTAAATGCATACGATATATATATATATATATATATATATATACACGAGTACATATGCACGTGTGTGTACATATATATATACCGTACATATACGTACACAGGCACATGTATAAATCTATAGAGAGGAAATACGCAACGCAACGAAACTGGTTTCAAAGAGACAACTATATTTAACGAACGGAAAAGAATTTCTAAAATCGAAACTAAAATTCACTCGAAGATTTCTCCTTTCTAATTTTTAAAATGGGGCACTAAAAGTAAATGATAAAATTTCAAAAAAAGAAAGAAAAAAGAAAAAAGAACAGAAAAGAAAAAAAAGAAGAAAAAAAGATGATACAAAGCCTACTGATTCGCATATCGTGTCAAATAACGTTAAGCCCCGACTATCGATAGTTGAACAAATTCGAACAAGCTCGAGCTTAATCGAGTCGTTGAAGTTCCGCCCGAGAGTTAGCCATGCTCAGTTTCGATTCAGACTAAATTTTATTCGTCATACGTGGAACAAGTTAACTCGTAACCATCTTCAATGACATTCTCAAATACATACTAAGAGTACGCGTACGTAAAGGAACGTTCCATAAAATAAAAAGGAAAAAAAAAAAGAAAAAAAAAATAAAAACAAAACAAAAAAAACAAATCAGAAAAAAGGAAAAGAGAAGAAAAAAAAACACACACACACAGTAAAAATAATAGAAATACGATGAATAATGTACGAAGAATATTTGATGAGAAGTAGGTACTTCGAATTCATCCTTCAAAAAGACATCTTATTATTCCTCTTACTATCCTTTTTATTTGTATATCCTTTGAATCGAGGATAAAAAGACAAGACAGGATATTTCTTGAAAAGACGAACTTAGCTTTGGTAAAAGCGTCGGCGATAATTCGCGAGTCGTTCTCTCTGAGCGCCATGCTTTCACGCGAAGCGCAACTCCGTTCGAAGGGCTCGCGCGAGCTTGCGAGAAATGTCGATAAAACGTGGTGGCCAATGAGCGGGCGCGGAGTGACGTCACGGCCGTGGGTTCGGCCAATCGCGTGGCACCGCTGACGTCAACACGAGGGTGGAAACAACCGAACAGCGGAACGAAGCCGCAGGCTTTTCTCTTTCTGGGGAGCAAGAGGGATGGGAAGGGGAGGTGAAAGTAGAGAAGGAGAGAGAGAGAGAGAAAGAAAGAGAGGAAAGGGAGGAGAATAGAACGACGATGGTGTATCTCGTTGGAAAGAGAGTTTCACGGTAGGCAATGGCGAAGGGTGTAGAAAAGAGGTGGTGTTGATGCTGCTAGTGGTGGTGGTGGTGGTGATGATGATAGTGGTGGTGGTAGTGATGGTGGTGGTAGAAACGTTGGAGGGGAGGGGAGAGTAGGATAGGATAGTAGTAGGAGAGATTCGCCAGTGGCGGCTCGGGCAACCCCCAATATGGGTTTACTAATCCCACGAAACAATGGAAATTGCCCGATGCAAAATGGCGATAGGTAAACCACTCTCTGTCTGTCTTTCTCTCTCTCTCTCTCTCTCTCTCTCTCTCTCTCTCTCTCTCTCTCTCTCTCTCCTTGTCTCTATATTTCTCTCAAGAGAAAAGATAGAAAGAAAAATTAGATGTTTTTTAATTTAAGAAATAGTAACGAACGAGAAGAGAATCAATCGATATTTTCATTGTTTAGTTTGAAAACCATGCAACAACTTTTCTTTTTTTCTCTCTCTCTCTCTCTCATTAATGCTTTTGATGGATTATGAATATGATGCATGTAGTAGGTATGTATTTGTAAGAGCACTATCGATTCGCTCGATTTTTGCGCAGGTCTGGTTCCAGAACAGAAGAGCGAAATATAGAAAACAAGAGAAACAATTGCAAAAGGCACTTACTCCGATACCCGCGTGCCAAGGTGCCATGATGAGGAACATCTATCCTGGTGCTAGCAGAGGTTATCAACCCTATCCACATCCACACAACAGTATAAACGGAATCAATCGTTATCCTCAGGTGAGTCCTTGAAATTATCCATATGATATTACCGTACTCGTGATCTTTGCTTAGATGAAACAGGTTCGCATACGTTCGTACAATAAAGACGTAGGTAGTAATAAAGAGGGAAAGAGAAACGATAGCACTAGACGAGACGCGATCCATCAAATCCGGTGGCGGATCGGATGGCGGATCGCGTCCAAGCGAATGAATTCGATGCGTTTCTCGTTAATGATTTTAACCGAGGTATTAAATTGGAGTGCAGCTAAGCGTACGTCCGGCGCACGGCTATCGGTCGATGTAGCTAAATTGCATTTTAACTGATTAGTTGGGTAGGACGGATTAACGAATGCCTACCGCTTTAATTGAACCAATAAATCGTCAAACGTGCGGGCAAACGTATAGGATAAAAAAGATACCCTCGTAAAAATTTCAATGTTCAAAGACGTTAATAATAACGGGCGACGAAAGAATCAATCGTAATTAGCCGTATCGTTGGTCACATTAAAATCATCCAATTTTGGAATTTTTTCCGTTTCTTTCAGATGGGCACGACGTCTTACCCTAGCATGACCCAACCCTTCTCCATGTCGCATTCGGCGTCGAACATGTCGGCGGTCACCGGTATGCGACAAGACGCGATGGGTAAGTTGAAAAAAAGAAAAGAAAAACGATAAATTTTATATACACATATATATATATATATATATATATATATATATATATATATGTTACTTTTATCTATTGCTAGCTATTGCGTAAGAAATTCTTCCTTAAAGATATTTTTCCGAGAATCAATAGGAAAGATGAAAGTTTCTCGTTCGAGGATCGACTCGATCTTATCGAATGATTTCGTAAAAAGAACGGACCGGAAATGATGCGCATCAGACGAGGACGAGGATGAGAAAAGTAGAAGGAGAAGTTCGGGGAAGGAGGATAGTCTCTCTCTCTCTCTTCCTCTTTCTCTCCCGCTCTTTCTCTTTCGTCTCTCGATCGCTCGAAGACGTTCCTCTCTCCATTTCCGGCGCAGCGCCGTCTTACACCATTTCCGGGCCGAGATGGAATATCGCTTTTAAATCGAATCAAGACTATTCGCGAATTGCCTGCCGGATTCGAATCGTTCGACGAAAACGTAGCGTATTCTAACAGAGTAAGTCGCGAGTCCAACGTCGAAGTCACCGGGGCCAATATCTTTGCACCTTGTATAACGACTTAACGTCTTAATGCGACGGTAAATCGTCCCATTAGCCATCTCTCGATGGAGCTTCTTAGAAAATCGTTAAATCGAATCCGTTCCGTATCCCATTCACGAATACCATTGGACATTTTACTTTTATTCACCGAGTCTCGCTCGATAATTCACCATTCTTTTCTCTCAGTCCTTTCCATTCGTTTTCTATCAACGTATTTAAATCAATACTAATATTGGTTCATCAATGAAATAATAATCTTCGTACGGTCTATCCTTCCATTGTCGATATTTTATAAATTTTGATATAAAATAACACTTAATCGTATAATCGTTTAAACGTAAAGATATTGTTAATTCCTTTTTACAGGCATGTCAGCGGAGGATGAATGGTACAACAAGAGTATCTCGGCCCTAAGAATGAACACGGCCCATCATCCTAATCTCGCCGCACCGATGCTGCAATATCAAACATAATTGTAAACGTATACCGCTGTAAATGTTCACCGACCGAATAAACGCTAAACACGTCGTCGGACCCATCGAGAACGAGGACGAGGAGAAATGGCGACCGTCGTTGATCGTTACCGAACTCAAAAACGAAAAAGAGAGAGAAAAAGAGAGAGAAATGGAGGAAGGGGTGAGAGAGAGAGAGAGAGAGAGAGAGAGAGAGTTGGCTAAATTTCTTTGCGAAAGAAAAATTAACAATTTTTAAACGGTTAAGATATTAGAACACGTGGGTCGCCGAAATTATTTTTCTCGTTCGAACGTAGCCAACGCGTTCTTTTCTCGAAATTAATCGTCCATAAAGCTCAAAGATGTAAATCGATGAATAAATGCTAACAAATTAATATCGAGGACGAATAACTCGACACCGTGTTTCGTCACTTTGCGACGCGAATGTAAGAATGGAAAAACAGTAAAAAAATATCGAAAAGACAGAGAGAGAAAGAGAGAAAGAGAGAAAGAGAGAGAGAGAGAGAGAGAGAGAGAGAGAGAAAGTGGGAGTGGGAGTAGGAGAGAGGAAGAGGTAGAGAAAAAGGAAGAAAAAGAAAAAGAAATATGATCAACATGGCGGAGCACATTTAGCGCAAATAATTTTATATACGTACACGAGTTTTCCTATTCGATTATAATGTACAGTATATAGAGCTTCGATGATTTTTCCGTTTACGTGTTCTCTCGATCGCGTAACATTTCGTCCGACAATGAAAGGGAAAACAAATAAAAAAAAAAATGAATAAAAGAATGAATAGAGAGAGAAAGAGAGAGAGAAAGAGAAAAATAAATAAACGATCGTATATTCGCTCGAATTTGTAGCTTAGAGACGAATGAGCGTATATGAGAAACGTGAAACGATTTAAAAAACTAAAAAAAATAAGAAGAGAGAGGGAGAGAAAAAGAGAGAGAAAAAAAATGAAAAGAGAGAGGGAGGAGGAGAGAGAAAGATAGAAAGAGAAAGAGAGAGAGAGAGAGAGAGAGAGAGAGAGAGAGAGAGAGAGAGAGAGAGAAGAAAAAGGAGATCTTTCGTTAGTTTCTTAACAACGAGATTAAAAAAGACAGACTTTCGGTTGAAGGAAGAAGACTCTGGGGAATTGTAAATACATGCAAAGATATAGATATTATATAGCGTAATCAGCAGAATATTCTAGCGTATGCGATTTTTCAATGTCCTTTTAAAAGAAAAAAAAAAAAAAAAAAAAGTGTAAGCGTACCCTTAGTGAAATATTAGGCATTGATTTGTGTGCTTATGTTGACCGGGATTTTAAAGTAACCGACTATGATTGATAATGACGATGATGCTGATAGTTTTTTCAGGCGACATTAGGATCGAAGGGTTGCGGGAGTAGAGCGAATGGCGGCGAATATCGGCAGTGTCGTGCGTTCGAAATTTGAAAGGCGTCAGGCTTGGAAAAATTGTAGAGACAAAAGTGATTTAAATAAATAAATAAATAAATAAATAAATAAAAGAAGAGGAGGAAGAGAAGGAGGAGAAAGAAAAACGATTCCGTTCCAATAGCGAACTTTACAAACGAACTTGATAATTCGCAAACTTCTCCTGACGCCTTTCGTTCGTCATATTTGAAGTCTGTCCGATCAACAAACGTCTATATTGGTGTCATTTTTCAATAACTGTCTAATCGATATATCGACTCGAGGACGAAGCTGCAGATACGACTGCATTGTTTTCGTGTAGCTCCGCTGCGACCTCTCATTGATATATATCGCGCTCGCGCTGTTCCACGCGAAATGTTCCTAAAAAAAGTTTGTAACATATCACACGTATGAACGTACACGCTTACGTCGTACGTACGTACGTGTGTGCGTACGTGCGTACGTGCGTGCGTGCATCCGTACCATGCATGCGTGCGTACATACAAATATACAACAAATATACAAACATACATGCATACATACATACATTTAATACAAATTATACACGATCCTCGAAATATACATATACACAATGCATTCGAACATAACATACACGTACACTATATCCCACGTATGTCGAGATGAAAAAAAAAAAAGGTTTAAACTTAAGTGGAAATACATACACAGCGGGCGTATTATAGTTTTAAGCAAGGGTCACGTATTGTACGTATGTGTTGTACATAGCCTAAATAAAAATTACATTTAAAACTAACCTTCGTGCGTTCGTTGGTTTTGTTCTTGTTTGTTCCCGCAATTACATATTTTACATTGTTATTTACGAGGAAAAAACGAATCGAAGAAAATCATATTTCTTAAAATTACAAGTAACTGTAACAGAAATACGAAACTAACCATTAAAAATTTCTGACTAATACTAAATCTCCGAAATATGATCAAAACTTCACTCATTTATTTTTTTTCATTTTTTTTTTATTATTAACGAATAAAAATATCGACAAAACGTTAAATAAATATATATATACCTAATATTTCGTATAATATTGAACAAAGTTTTGCTCAACAAAGGAATTACGTTGGAACGTTGTATTTTCCCTCCACATCGCTCGTCGCGCCTTCTAGCGGTCGGAACGCGAACGTTTAGAAATAAAATGCGCGCGAAAAACGAAACACGTGTTCTGTAACATTTCCCATGAAGGATCATTAATTCGACAATTAATAACTTTATTCTCATTTGATTATGATAAATTCTTTTTCATTATTCTTATAATTCAATATATCAGGGACAATGTCCCTATAAAAATATTTTTATCGCAATATTCAATACTTCATATCCACATCATATTTTTGAAGGCAGCTCGAAATAAATTTGAAAATATTCTTATTATCGTTGTATATTATATGCAAATAAATAAGAATAATATATATTGAGAAATAAACGCCATCTAATATTAAGATGATAAATCACATAAGTCTCGGTTGTTACAAAATATTTATCTGAATCTGTAGAGAAACTTACTATCTGTGATGTGAAAAAAAAAAAATATATATATATGTACATATTGAATAATTTATGAAAAGAAAAGTAAAATGAATTGAAGGATTGATCGTTTCGTGATGGATCGTCTATACAAAATGAGAGGATAAAATATTAGATTTCAAAGTTTATTTGTATGTCATTAAATTTAGCACATTCATAATAAATCTTATATGACAGTGTACCTTCGCCTAAAAAACTATACATAAGGAATCGCCAGACTAAAATAAACGATAACCCGTACTTCATATTATGTTTGCTATGTTGTTTCCTCGTAATTTGTCCTTCTTATACATAATAATATATGTCTGCAATAATTTAGATTACAAAGACGTCATAGACTTTTCACACCCTTTTTATTTTTATTATTTTTTTTTTTATCCTTTCTTTTGTTTTTTCTCGTAACACGTGTATATGGCGCGCGGAAACGCACAAACACGCATTAATGTTCCCCGGCAGCGTGAACAGGAGCTAAAATGTTTTATTTCTTGCTTTTCTTTTTCTTTTTTTTCTTCTTTTTCATCTTTTTCTTTTAATTATCTCTATCACTTTCACATTTTCATTCGTACGCGTTACTTTCGTATAATTTTAATTACACACACGCGCAGTACCGTCTCGAATTTAACATTTTTCTAATCTATACTTGTTTCGATACTTGATTTTTTTTTTTTTTTGGTGTTGTCATTTATATAGTTACATTTCAATTATTTAAATAACGTTAAAATTTTTTTCGTTTTTATTTATATTTTTTTTTTTATTCCACATATGCACGACGCAAGATTGAAATATATCAAGAGGATCGGTGTCGATATTTGGTGAGACGTAAATTTTTCCTCAAACATTGTTGATGATTATTATTTCGAATTGACTGAAAAAAAAGATGATGATTCGTAGTGTTCATTTTTTTTATCTTTTTACTTTTTTTCTTTTTCTCACACTTTTTTCCTCCCTTTATTTTATTTTATAATTTTTGCCTGTAATTTTATTTTATTTTATTTTATTTTATTTTATTTTATTTTATTTTATTTTATTTTATTTTATTTTATTTTATTTTATAATACGTTAAACGTATATTATCATAGGCGTAGAAATTAATCGTGAGAAGAGGTGTACACGAATTTTTTGTTTATCTCTGTTACGGCATTTAAAGTTTCACGTATGTACTATTATTTAAACTAACGGTATGCGTTTTATCGCGATGATAGATTACTAAAATATCGAATAAATATTTATTCCCCAAAAATATCTCGCGTACATCGCATATCAGTCGTCGCAGATTTGTCTCCTCTTTTATTTTTTAGTGCATTTTATTTGTATTCTTTTTTTTTTATTTATTTATTTATTTATTTTTCTTATTCGTATTCTTTCCCTTTCTCTTTCTTTCTCTCTCTTTCTCTTTGTTTTTTTTTTATTTTTTTAATTCTCTATTTGCATTTTTTGTTATGCCACGGCCACCGTTTTACACTTAAAGTCGTGGAAGTAAATTCTTAAATTCCTACAGACGAACGATATAATGACATTCTGAACATTATTACATAAAATATTGACTTAACGTAATCTTTCTTAAAGTTTTATACAGAGTTCTCCGATGAATTTATATTAATTAGTTGCTTAAAACGTATATACACATGAAACCGATAGAGTGTTTCTTGGATTCTTTACAAGAGCATAATCGCAAATTGCTTTACCTTACAATTAATATATTATTATCGTTTAATCGAAATTTTACTATACGATAGTGAAGCTAAAAATTACGTCTAGACATTAGTGTAAAATTTCATGTATTACACAATTCGGTACGTGTACATTCCTGTCGTAAGTGCGATACCTTTTTATATACTGCGCTTTGAGATCTCATCCTGGTCAGTTTACATAAATTATTATTCACATGTTTTACATTTACTCGAATAGAGATAATATAATCGTAATATGAATATTATAACGGTGATTTAATGTAAGAGGTATTACACGAGAACGAGCACTTTATCGAGAGACGTTTCTTCGTTATAAGCGCGCATCGTCAAATTGTAACGAAGCGAAGATCGCTGTAATAGACGCTTACTATCAAAGGATTCTTTATAGGATTCTCTATTTCTCTCTCTCTCTCTCTCTCTCTCTCTCTCTCTCTCTCTCTCTCTCTCTCTCTCTTCTCTCTCTCTCTTTAAAGGATCTCTCTTTAAAGGATCTATGCACAACCACACATATAGACGACGCAAAAAGGATGATAAAAATTGCATTGACGATAAAAACGACAGAGAAATAATAGAGACGATTAATAACTATTATTATACTTATTTTCGAGAATGAACGTGGATTTTAGCTACGGCTGCGAAGCGTCTTGTTAAAACAATGCTTTTACAATGTATGTGCTCGATATAATATTAATTTGTATTACAACCGACTATGTAATATAATGACGATAATGATAATGATGACAATGATGATGATGATGATGATGATGGTGATAATAATTATTATTATAATTATAATAATAATAATTTTATATTTTATTATAATTATAATAATAATAATAATAATAATAATAATAATAATAATAATAATAATAATAATAATATACGACGACGATGATGATGATAATGATGATGACGATGATAACGATAATTAAAGTGGTGCATATTAATTTAGCGACGATAAAGTCTAATCTGTTTGTGTGGAAATGCACTTTGGTTGTTTTTATACAAATAGCTTTCTAAGAAAAAATATCGTCGTACGTTTTCTTATCCGCACATAACAATGTTAATTAATAATATTCTGCAAGCTTCTCGGCACGCGTCATGTTAATATTGAAAATCATATTTCACCTACACCCATCCTTTCTGCTCTTCTCTTTCCCTCTCTCTCACTCTCTCTCTCTCTCTCTCTTTCTCTTTTTCTCCATCTCTCTCTCTCTCTCTCTCTCTCTCTCGCTCTCTTTCATTTTAATATAAGAAATATTTTACAGATTTATTTTTATTCGTCTCGCGCGAGTGTCATCGATATATATCATCTCGTAATTTCAGACGCGGGAAATATCAGTTAAAAAGTGAAAAAAATAACGATCGAATGATTTTTGGAGTTTCATTTTTGTTTAACGATTATAAGTATAATAATTATCGGTGTGACATATTAAAATCAGTTTTATATTTGACATTATCCTTTTTTCGACATATATTATATGCAATGTGTGTGTATTTTAATTACATATATATATATATATATATATATATACACATTTATATATATATTTATATATGTATATGTGTATATATACAGATTATTTTATGCACGTCGTGTATAACGCTTTACGCATGTATTCTCCCTTTATATATGTAACTACGCCGTACATATATATATATATATATGTGTATATATATATATATATACACATACATACGTTATATAATAATAGGTATATATACCTTATCACTAATAAATTTTTACCCGGCATTTCGATAAGACTCCAACAAATATAATTATGTTTATTATACTTTCAGCGTGCAGCGTCCTATTTAAAACGACACAACTCGCCCCTTAACAAATATCTATTATTTGCCTAGTTTTAATCGCTTAATTAATTATTATCAGCAGCGTCAAAACATTACAGAATAACTTTGACGCTTTATCGTTACACAACACCCGACATGATATTACTCATTTATTTAGAATTTCGAAGGTCGTTTATATTTGCATTTAATTCAATTGTATTGTTTGCCACTTTGCGGACGAAACGCCAGGCACTTGTAGAGATACAGAGAAAGTAGTTTCATTCCATTTCTTTTCTTTTCTTTCTAAAACATTATACAACGATGGCATCTTAATGTCTCACATTAATCAATAATTTTCCTCTCTTACTCTTCCTTTTATCCTTTACGCTTTACAACGTGCCAAAGACGTTGTCCTTGTCGCAAGAGAAGTTAATGGGTTGCAAGAATTCGACGATATAAAAAATTTAAAGCTGAAAACTATATATATATATATGATAGAGATCACGAAGTTGTAGCAATTTATCAATCCACCATAGCCAATGTTCCTCTTTCCCCTCCAAAAAAAAAAAAAAGAAAACAAAAAATTGTTATCCGCAACATAGATATATATAAAAAAAAAATAAAAAACAGAGATAAAGTTTACACTTTATAAGAAAGATCCGATATGCTAAATAACAATTATGAGCTTTGCTGTGTATGTACGTATAAGATGAATTAATTTTGACGAGCGTCTAAATAAAAGGCTATTACAATAAGGATCAATGATCACACAGGATCGTGTCGATTAATGCATGATATGAATGTGACAAAGAGATTTTACAAAAGGAATAGAAAAATGTTTCTTCGATATTGCCCCATTAGCTTCGAAAAAAATATTATATAGGTACAGGTATTACTCCAACCATAATGTCATGAGTTTCTAAGGAGTAACGGCCACTTCCGTTAAGATATAAGTAACTTATACTTTGCAAATACTATTTGTTATCAGTTTCTTATATTTAAACGTTATAAAGCCATTCGTACACCATTAAAGTACGAAGCCACGGAGATAGCAGACGTTAAACAAATGGTATTTCAAACATAACATTCCTTTTTTTTTTCGAGATCAACTTCTTTCAATGGTCATCATGTCCTCCAAGTAACACATTATAAGTGATAAAAAAAAAAGACGATAAAGTTATTCCAATTACATTATACGTATTATAAATTAAAATTATAAATTATATATTATTATTAAGCTTATAAGGTGTTACTTTTACAATGCATCCTCGATCGTCCTTAATATTTATTATTATTTTAATTATTTTTTAATGTACCGATATCTCCTAAGGCTTTTATTATCCACGAAGAATTAAGAATGTGTAAATAATATATAATTATCAACTTATATTATTAAACCATAGCATGCATTACAATTTACTGTGAGCGCTACTACCAGTCGTTTTGTAGCTTGTTACCCACTTAAAGCTGTGATATTGAGAAATATGTACATCTAATATGTTGCATATACAATCGTATATGAAATAAGCAATAATAAACTTATAATCTAAAATTATGACTTTCTAACGGTGTTATAAAGGTAACACGGCGTAGAGAATGACAATAAATTCGAAAATAAAAAGAACAAAAAAAAAAAAAAAAAAAGAAAAAAAAAAGAAAATATATTTATCATCCGCGTCGTATCGTATTGCCCTTTTTAATAATGTGTCTCCATTAAAAATCAAATGGTTCACGCATACTTTGAATATTTTAATTTCTATAACATATTAAACGAAGAAGGTACCCTTGTACACATTTAATCGTGAATTTGAACATCATACGCCCTTTTAATAACAAATTTGCTACCGTTTATTCAACAATTTTTCTTTCGTTTGATATAAACAAGTTTTGGAAAAATTATAATATCGCAGCAACAGCGTCTTTGGTGGCGCTTTACGAATTACTTTTTCTACCTAAGAATATATTTGCATATTAAACTTATTTACGAATTTTGTGCAGTAATATATGAAATAACTGACTTGGCTCGTTAAATGAAATGTGGGTTAATATTAATACTGTGCAAAAATGTGAGAGAATGTGTGAGAAAGTTAATTGGTAATAATGATTTTTATCTGTTCGACTCATATATCATAAATATTGCATATATTAAAGTGATTGCCACTTTGCAAAACATTGATTATACCAATTTCAAAGCAAATATATACTTTTGAAGTATAAGAGACCGCTTATTAATAGTAAGAATTAATCGTTTTTAGAGATACAATGATTATAGTGTAATCTGTTGTTAAGCTTTTCAAAATACATGGGTATCGCTCACATATTTAGTTGCTGGTTTTCTTTTCTTTTCTTGTCTTGTTTCTTTTTTCTTTTTTCTTTTTTTTTTTTTTTCTTTTTCTTCTTAAGATTGTATTATAATTCATATGTATACTTCGTGAACAGCATTTGTGTACGAATGATTCGGTGATAAAATGTATTTATATAAGTATGCGTGGTGTATATACCGATACACATACGTACTTACGTATGTCGTCGTAACATGCTCACGTATGTACGTATCTGTAAAAGTATTACAAATATAAATTATTTGCCTTACAACTTAAAATATCTCTGAGATATTAGATAGTAAAAGTGAACTCATTGCATCGGCATAAATTCCGATTAATTTGTTATACGCTAATGAAGTCATTTTATACTCCCGTTCTATTTTTTTCTTTTTTTTATTCTTTTCTTTTTTTTCTTTTTTTCTTTTTTACTTTTTTTCGCTTATAGTTTTATCGATGGCCTAATAATCGTTTAAAATATTCGTTTAAATCAGAATGAGATAATCTTTCGAGCTATTATAAAATCGAATTTCTTTTTTTCTTTTTTTCTTTTTTTTTTCCAATGAAATTTTTGCCTGATTACTTGTTACAATAATATTTTGCAATATTGACTTAAAAACGATGATCATCATGAAAAGTACAACAAATATCCTATTTCTATCCAATCTCTTACGAGATAAAAATTACAAATTATTAAGCGTTCTTGTCTGCGTTCACAGACAATATGAGAAATGATCCTACGGATAAGTTAATGAGGTATATTTACAAATGGAGGCTAGTTCCTTAATAGGCGCAGGAAAATATCGATTTTGTCAGACCTTGGTTATTTTTATCGCAAGAAAATTCATATAGAGAGGGACGTGTACACGGAATCGGACTTAATGGTTGTCAATTTGAAAATTGTTCCTATTACATATTAATAGATTTCATTATTTCTATTATATGTCCGTCTTAATTGCTTCCTTCCTATTTCCAAAGTCTTTCTCTTCTTTTTTGTTTCTTTTTCTCTTTTTTTTTTCTTTTTTCTTTTTTGGTATTTACTTGCGCTTTGATTACAGTTGTAGCTGCTTTTCGTGCATAGGTCGACTTAAAACTAATAGATGGTCTCGTTACAATTCAAAAATTGTTGATTCGTAATACCCGACTAATTATTTCTGCGTACACACATTTTGGTTCCCGTTTACATCTTCAACAACACGAATAAGACGTTTCTCTTTTCTTCTATGCAATTTCGCATACATTCCACTATACTACTTTGATAATTATGTTCACATGCTGCCTTTGTAAAGTTGCATTGACGAATCAAAACCATCAAATCATTTTTATATGTATGCTCAAAGAAATATGTACTATTATGAAATTATAATAAAAAGTTACTTAATTTTTACATAGTCAAAAACTAAGAATTAAATGATCCAACTATAAGTGGTATAGATATAACCTCCTAAACTATATACTTAAATATATAACTGCAATAAATATTATTGATAATATAAGGTCCTTTTTTCATACTTTCGAGAATAATATTACATTTATATCACTTGTAAGCCTAATGTCAGAATCATTAATACAGACAAATGATAAAACATATCTCACGTATGTATTGGCTAATTATAAATTAATGAGATATATATATATATAAATATATATATATATATATATATATATATATATATATATATATATATATATATATATATATATATATACGAAAATTGAATATTCCATTTTGTATGCGAATTGTTTTCTTTTCTTACTTTGTTTTTTCTTTGTTTTTTCTTTATTAATTTTTCATTAATAATACTGATTTATAATTTACTAAAATCATGTAAAAACATATCCCTCGAATGACACATATCTCACAAAAATAAAAATTCTTGTCACAACGTAATCATTTTATCGATGTATTAATGATTCGAAAAATACATAATAATTGTCCTCTGGCGTGCGACATCGATACACAATTATAAATTACATTATCCTATCTCTTGGTTGTACATTACTGGTTTCCAAGGCTTTTTAATATAGTTATTGTTTCGATTATTGTTCTAAAAGATTATTGAAATTGATTCCATTTGCGGGAAGGAATCTCAGTTAGATGATTCGTTATAGTAAAAATGTAAGGACCTTAAAGTTTTGCATTGTTTGCAGTAAAACATATCTTATCCTAGAATTTAATATTTTTTTTTCATACGTTCTGTGTTATTATTGAATCAATATCTTACTGCTATTTTAATATTCCCTTGCATTAATGAGGCTTTATTATCAGCCCAGATCTAATGCCGTGTAATGTCTAGTTCAACTTAAATCATAAGTATCTTTTTTCAGCATGATTATAACATTTTGTGTATTGTACAAAACTTTCTTACTTTCATTCCATCTCTCCCATTACATTTTTTAATATCGTCAATATTAAACTTCGCGTGCCATCCTAGTTCAGACAGCGTCAGTATATTTGTTTATTTAATTAGAAGTGAATTATGTGCCACATATTTAAAAAATAAACAGTAATAGTGAAAACTAAAATGTGAGATAAATAAAACTAATGTCTTTGTACATTTTCAATGGTGTAATCGCTTAAATATTAAAAACAAATAAATATACTTCACATAGAAAATGTTCTTAAAACTCCACTTCAATGTATTCCCTATACTTGTAAAGATATGTTGTGTTACTTTATCTTCAAATTAATTCTCATAATCACTGTGAACGGTGACATTAGATTTAGACTGATCAAAATTATGCCATATAAAAGATAGCAGCATGTTATTAGTTAGATGTGGCACAATGTGATTTCTGACACTATAGGGATTACATAACAAATTGTTTCATCATAATTATCACTTTCAATTTGACTCTAGTAAATCTCTAACTTACTTTGGCCATTGGCTTGAAGAGTTATTGGCAATTAACATTTACACAATTTATTCGTTTAATATTTTATCCTTTCATTCAAACTTCATAACTTGAAGTGGCCAACTTTTTTTTTTTTTTAAATTTTTATATATTCAAAATTTCTTGTAGGTCTCAGAGGTTCGCACTCTAAAGCTGCTCCTTCTTCTCTGACGCTGCCTGGACTCTCTTGTCCTCTATTCCTTAAATAAATTCTTTTCTACGTTCGATTTTTATTTACTAATGCATTTATCATTGCTTAATTGTTTTAGAACGCAAACCTCGCGCCCACGCTGGATGATAAACGTAATCTTACATACATCATCATATCTTTATAAGATCTCTTCAGCATAGTAATCGCATTATCGTTCAATCTAAAAACTCCATAGATTGGTAAATTCAATTCATATCAAATGATATTCAAACGTATAACAGTCTCGCATAAAGCGATCTATATAACTGTAATTTTATCCAGCAATATGATCATTTATATCATACAAATGCAAGAGATACTAAGACCTCTAAAAAAATAAGCGTAATGTGCGTTGCAGCCGATTTTTTAATTATTAATTGTCTAAGTGAACTTTTCCATGCAACAACCAATCGGCTAAGCTGCAAAATGCTCCACTCTACTTTAAAACATGATTAACTAAAAGCACCTGCTTTAAAACTTACTTTCTAAATGATTTTGAAAGTCTATCCAATCACTACTTTTATGTGGAACTCAAAATATTGATGTCCCACTTTTATATCAGTGCTTTTGGATAGACTTATTATAATTATAAAAGTAAAAAAAAATTGACCACTCAAGAAGATCGTTTAACATTTAAGTAGTCTAGAATTGTTTCCTATGTCCAAGATATGATGATTATCATTATGTAGTGCTTCAATTTTTATAGAAAACAACATCGATAGAATTATGCGAAGTACATAACTCTTTTTGTGTCTGCATGAACAGTAATAGCTCGTGCCATTGCACCTGGTGTCCTATCTTCGCTACAGCCTGATTGATGAGATCCTTCCCCGCTACAAATAGATAGTACAAGACATATGAATTTTATCTAGGGGACTTATACCGATTTATCATCCATCAGAAGAGTATAGTGATAATTTAATATAAATTTACCTATCGTGTTCCTTTTCTACTAGGTGATATCTAGCTCTGAATGCCACAAGATGGGCATAATAAGCTGGTGCTGGTATACTAACGGATCTTGTACACCTTACATACGTATGACATAATTGATAAGTGAGACATTGCAATTCATCACTCTCAAAGTGATTGTCATCCCAGAGAACGTGATAATGAGATGGTCTAGATGTTCCCTGCAATAAAATATAATTATTATATAATTCTTTTTTCTTTTCTTTTCTTTTCTTTTCTTTTCTTTTCTTTTCTTTTTTTATCAGGACTTACAGTTCATAAATTCGCAAGAATATTAACCTACCTGAATACCTTGGTGACTGCAAAGATAGAAATCAAATTCTGTTGGATGAGTTATACAAACGTCAACCGTTGTACCAGCCGGAATATTGCCACTTTTACCACTTTGTTCCTTTTTATCTGCACAGAACAAACGAGTGTGATGTCTTTTTTGAACTACAATGAAAGTAATGCCAGGCCTATAATCAGCTTCAAGTTTGATACAAGCTTCACGAATGGCAGTTAATTCATGTTGTAGAACGTGAAGAAATTGTCCTTCCGAAACACCATCGCGATAGAGAATTATTCTATGTGGTTTATATCCTCCAGTACTTTTATAAAACATAACAAGAAGTTCCCTAAAAGCAATAGGGGTCTAATTTAGCAATGTATGTGTTGTGAAAATTTATAAACGAATAGTGGAATTTTTTAACTGTTTATAAAATTGGCTTCTTTCATTTTACTTTTAAAACTACTATATATTATTACTTACCTAACCATTGAACTGAGTTCCTGTATAATTTCTTGTCTATGTTGTTGTACCCTAACCGTAGCTGCATACCTTGATGGATGAGCATCCATACTACCTACTACAGCAGCTATACTAGGTTTTTTATTATCTCCAGCGGGAGGATGAGTTACATCTGCTCCCAAAAATATAACAGGCTCGTTAAACACTTTTGGTCTAATACTTGGTACTAGAATGCTATTGATGCCACCTAATTTCACATTAATCTTCAAACACAAATTTGATAAAGTTTGAGGAGAGGTCTTATTGACATTCTTTGCCTGTACACATTGAGTTGCCATACCGAGTAACGTATCTCCTACTCTTTTGACTTCAGCTATGAACACAAATGTTTAATTTTAAAACAAGTATATCCTTTATATTAAATATTATAATTTATCTATATCTAATTACCATATACAGGAGTTTTCCCGGGTAGCACAACACACACTAATTGCAATGCTTGGAAAGTCGATTTTAGATACCGAAACATAGGTTCAACTTGATCTGGCCCAGTAGCATATTTACAGAAACATGGTTGTCCAATAATTGGCATTCCAGCATCGTTACTGATTTTTTGCAATTGTGTAGTGAATGTACGTAACGCGTCTTCTCGTACTGTTCTTTGCGGTGCAAAGCAAGCAATAGCCCATACTCTAATCTCAACTCCCGTGAAGAACTGTTTACCTCGCATATCCCAAACGCCTTGATTGGGCATTGCTTGTTGTTTCGTCTTTAATCATAAAAAGAAAAAAAGAGCTATTACAGAAAATCACACTGCTTCTGCTTAAAAAGTAAATACATAAATATTTAGTGAATACATAAGTTTGAACATTAAATCGATGCAAAAAAGAAAAAAAAAATATTGTTCGTAATAATATCATATTGCATAAGATAAAATTGATTGTATTCAAAGCTTACAAACGATATTGAACTGCGGATGTAACAGAGATTATGTACGTATTTTCATGGATTTGACATAGTTTGTTACAATATTCAATTGTGCCCATCAGAAGACAATATTATTTATAAAACGAAATAAATTGACAAATGGGTTACATCACAGTTCAGATATCAAATCAACCAGGTCTAAATAGAGCTCATGCATTAGTTTTGACGACTTTTGGTAGCATTTTTTAATAAAAGAAAATAGGTATAAAAAAAAAAAAAAAAAAAAAAAAAAAAAAATAAGTAAAAGAAAATAGAAGTATAAAAAGCTATCTCTAGAAATGTGTGTAATTTTTCAAGATCTGACTGATTGAACTTTATTATATATTTCTTACCTGTCCACTGAGGGAACTTACGCGCCCTCCGTACTGTAATTTGGGTGGAGGTAATACACGACCTCGAACTTCCATCATATTATTTGATATACTCAATCCAAATTCTTGAACATAAGAATCATTATTGAAGTCAGCTCGCCTTACTAAATTATTAATTTCTCGTTCACGATCTGGTGCTGAACGTGCTGTTGCTTTTATCATAGTAGACGTCTGCATATCTGTTAATTTTTTTATACAACGTTGTCCTGCTACTATATTACAAACCTGAAACAATAAATTATTATAACAATATTAGCAATAACAAATTTATTTACTGATAATCTTCTTCCTGACATTATTTTTTATTATTAACTAACCTCAAGTGGCAGGTACGTGTGTTTATGTTCCTGGCCTACTTGCAAACAAGGAAGATGCGAATAACGTAATTTCATTTTATATTTATCCAAAAAGTATTTTGCAACTGTACATTCAACAGTTTGTCCATTTTCCAATTGCAATGGAAATCTATGATAAATAATTTAATACAAGTTTTCAATATAATATAAATAATTCATATTTTCAAATTGATTATTTCACTTACGATTGCATTTGTGCCGGTTTACGTGTAACATTGCATACTCTATATTTTCGTCTCATTGTTCCGCAATGAGTTATTTCTATTTTGAGCCCTTTGATTTCTTTGGTAAATTTCACTCGTTGAGAATCTGTGAGTGGTTTCCTTTGTTCGTTTACATCTCTAATATCTAATACTTCGCACATAAATTCTATGACAGGTTGAGCTTTATAAAATGCAGTTGCAGAAACTGAAATATAAATGAAGGATAAAGTGTAACGTCAGAAATATGAATGAAAGTTATTAAATATTTTTTAATTCTGAATTTTAATACTAAAACTATATGCGTACCATCAATATTTAACATCATTTTCCATTGAGATGGTCTTACAGATTGATGAAAGCCAAACCATACTTCTCTGCCTCCACCCAATGGATGATAATATCCATCCGGACTACTGAAAAATGATCTACCTACTGGTGTGTAAGTCATTGATGGTAAATGTCTCATTACAACATCTAATGCAAGAATAGCATCATATGGAATTTGTCTTGTACGTCCTTCGAGTGCTTCTTCTAAGGCAAATAATGAAACCTGAGCTACCCATTTTATTACCACTCTGAAAACTCGATCTTTACCCTCACCAGGCAGTGTTACCTACATCAGAAAAATATTGTACTATATATCTGCTGACAAAGGCGGCATTCAAGAAATATCAATAAATGAAATATTACCTCTAAGTCTATTTTATCAGTTCCAATAGGCAAAGGGTCCCTTGTATACAAGTTATTTCTTCCATCAAACACAGGTTTAAGAGTTCCAAAAATCTTGCTATATGCATGTACCATTGTTTCTATGATTTCCCTATTGACTTTGCGAGGGCATTTATCAGGTTGTATATTAATTTCATAATGATGCACATAGCCTCGTGGCATAGTAATTTGAAAATGATTTGCTCTCAATCCAATTGGTCTACCTTCACGACCTATGTTGGGCCTTCGTGGGCATGAAAACACTGTAAATGAAATTCATTAATACGCTAAGACTATTTTCTATATAATTATTTTCTGAATAATTAAAATTATATAATTGAGTATATATAGGAAATATATATTTAGGGTTATATAACTATCTTTCTATTTTATAAAATAAAAAATAAATAAATGCTCTTACTTGGCAGTTCTGGAGGTTGAGGCGGAGTATGTGTTTGTTGTGCAGGAACAAGGCCCAAAGAACTAGGAGCAACGACATTGCTCCCAGTTGCTCCGGCCGTTCCAACAGAAGTACTTGTTGTTGGTCCAGGTGGGGGAGCTAAAAATTAAAACAAAAAAACATAATTGATAGAAACATAATTGATTTATCCAAATTTACTTTAAGAGCTTATAAACTATAAAAAAGAAAAAATCCATTCTCATTTATACGATACAATTACCTAATGGCAAATTGCAAAAAAAGAAAAAAAAATCATTTTCTCTATGAATGTAGAATGTTTAAATGCATCTATTGTTTGATAATTTTCTAACAAGTAGATAAAATAAAATACAAATGACACAGGAAATAATGATGAAAAAAATGAAAAAATTCTATGACAAAAATAAAATAAATATTTTATGTCAAATGCAGAAATTAAAAATTATTCATTTAAGAAAGAAAAAAAAAAAAAAAAAAAAAAAAAAAAGAAAGAAAAAAAAAAAGAGAATTAATTTCTTTCATAAAAGACAATAGCAATGCACAATGTAAAATAAACAATCTCGATACGATAATATCTTACAATAGGTTTATACATAGGAGGTTTAACAAATAGCACACCATTTTCATTAGATGCATATAATTTACTATAGATGTAGGATATGATGAATCAAAGACAAGATATGACACGTCGTGCCTGTTGAGCTAGGTCGATTAGGGAGAGACAATTTTCGTCATTTTTCATTGAAATTATATACGTGTATCCATTGTTATTGAAGTTAACATATCAATGTACAACTTTTTTCGAATATCTCCAATCATTCTTTTTGATTATCGAAATGGAATAAAGGGTAAGAAACCACTTGAGAGTAACGATATTCTAAAATCGCTCGAGCTAATGGAGTAGATCTATTTAAGAGTTTTTTCGAGCATATTAAGCTAAGCCTACAACAATAATATACTTACGCTGCCCTACAGGATACATTTTCGCAGCCGTTGATCAAAAAGACCAGGTAATCACTAATAAATAAGTAAAAAAATTTAACACAAAACCCACTGGCCACACAACACACTTCCCCACAACATACACTACGAGTAAGACTACCTTCTGCAATGGCTGCCAGCAGCTAAATGCCAATTGGTCTATACCCGGCCAATCAACGTTCTCATATTGAAATTGTGACCAGGTGAGTCAAATGAAGACAAACTAATTTCAAATATTCTATTGTAGTTTTTATGGTATGTCAAAACGATAGCATATATATATATATATACATACATATATACATATACGTATAATTTTAATAATTTACCCTAAAGTTGTTATAATTACATTATACGATACGGTTCATATGTTTTCACAGATATATAAAAATGCATACTTAATTGACACAACAAACATTAAATATTAAAAAATATATTGTATATAGGAACTATTGTTACATCTGATTTATAAACGAAAGGAAAAAAAAAGAAGAACGAATATATAAAATAATTTGTAAAGTTAATAAAAAATATTTACTCGAGAGTTCGCTGCTTTGTATGAAATAATATATAGCATAGCTAAATGTTATTTATATGATTAGCGCAGATTGACACAATAACCAGTAAATATATTGAATTTTTGTAATAAACATGGTAAAACGATTTAAGACAATCTGAGGGTTATCAGACAATATGACATGAATATTTAAAAGTTATCGTAGCGCGAATATAATCGTTAAATAAAAATCACAAGGCAATGTATTGCGAAAAACGATTAATTTATACTTAAACTTACTCCTGTCGTAATAGTTTTAGGCATAGATATAATTCCATTAATAGAAATTATTTCCATTCGCATATTGGATGAAGCGATTATTCAATTTATTTCCTGGAAATTTCAATACTACTAGATTAAAAGGATTTAATGTTTACGTTTAGTTTATATTCCCCGTAGATATAAGTTAGAAAAGATAAAAGAAAGTAACTTGAAGGGGAGTAAGTAATATATATATTATATATATATAGAGTACCCTGCATATGTATTGACTTCTACTGTCCTTTTCTTACCGACCGAACTGCCATCTGTTCGCGAAATGAAAAACTTTTTATGAAGAAATATTCCCTAAGTTTGACCTCTATATGTATCCTACATGTTGGCAACATTGACATAGTAATTTTTTTTTAAAGATGTCGAAAAACCTAACCTTATGAGTTAGGAACGATAGGATGGTATAATTACGTCGTCGTACACGCGTTTGCGTACTACACTGTTTGCGAAATGTCGATTCCTTTTAGCGGATCGCGTTCGCGTTCTGGCGGTTTGATCAGTGCTATTGCTAAACAATTGAAAGAAGTTAATTTAAAATTAGTCAATAGGATCGTCGTACAGTTTGATCCCTTTCACGAGAATGTTACGGAAACGAGGTTAGTAAATCTTTATTTTTCTTCTTCTTTTTTTTTTCTTTTCTTTTTATCGCTGTAATAAGAATCCTCGATCCAATTATTTTGCATTACTATGTATAACTTATGTACAACAACTCTACTTAAAATTTATTTATGAGATCGATAATTTATAGAATAAAATTAGAGTAATCTCGAAAAATTTTAGAAATCGATATATCGATTATTCATCGATGTATAACACGAATCGTTAATAGTCGATGATATTGGTCAAAAATTAAGAAACAATGGTATCATATCAATTATACATTGATTTTTATTCATTAACTCTTCATATATGCGTACGCGTACATGTATGCAGAAATGTAGATATCCGTGTACGCGATAAATAAGTACACGCTTTTCAGATTAGATGGATTGCTATGACGTCGATAGCGCACGCATGCGCATTAAAATTTCCGAATAGACAGCATAGAACTTCAGATGAAACGTTATTTTTAGTAACACTCTAATATCGTGCAAATGTTTACTGGTATATGATATATGAGAACGTAAAAGGGAGTAAAATTCTTAAAAAATAATAGTAAAGTTTTACGTGTGTAAAGAATAAAAGGGGGGAAAAAAAAGAAGAGACAAATGTGTACATAGTGAAACATTCCATTTTTCAACTTGCTATCAAAACTCATTTTGTGTATGTATGTATGTCATCTGTATTGATACTTCTTCTAATATTCAAATCTTGTAAATGGTTACTTTATTATTTTCATTTCAATAGATAAAAATTGTTTATTTGCATTTGCCATTATATAATTATTTATTTTTATTTTTAAATACACTATATAAAATAACAATGTTATGTACTCCTTAAAAACTATACTCATTTAATATCTAAAGACTGTCTAATATAAATATTTAAACTTACCACTACACTGTCCGCATCCATATGCTTTACCAAGCATAGAAACTGCAGTTGTTATACGAAGAGTACTTAAATCCGGCATAGGTATAGGTAGTTGTTGCTCCATTTGAGCCATGATGCTTCTGAAACATAATATTTTTTTTATGTGTATGCATATCTTCTTTCCGATTATAATATTAGTTTTCATTTTCTTCGTATTCTGAGTATTCAATTTTAATAATTATAATTTTTAATAATTAAAATAAAGAATAAACTATTAAAATAATATTTTTCTTCTTTTCCAGAAAGTTTCTTTTCTATATATCATGCCCGAGGATTCTAAAAACAAATCCTTTCTGCATATTAAAAACAAAAATTGTCTGCGATCGTACTGAGCCTATTATTACATTTGATCTTGGTGAGTATTCAACAAAAATATGTAAAATTATAATTTCTACTTTTCAATACAAATAATCAATGTCGTGTATAAACTTGTCTATAATTTTCAGTATCAAATAACAAAGTAATATTCAAGTGTAAAAATTTAACTACTCTGGATATCTTACAATATTGCAATAAGCACATCAGTTCTTTAGTTCCACCTCCTGAAAAGAGTCCTAAACAACTTCTGCTTGAGGAGAAAGAAAAGAAGAGAAAGAAGAAAAAAATAAAACAAAAACCATTTACTAAAAGAAGGCATGTAATTTTGTAATTTGGCAGAGATAGAGAAAATTTGCAGAAGTCTTGTAAATTATTTGATTATATTTAAACTTTATGAAAATCTTAGAACTGCTTAATTAGAAAATAAAATAAATAGAAGAAAAAACAAGCGGAGAAGGAATATTATCACTTCATTAATACATCAATCAAATTTTATCCTATTTTTCTCTGCTTTCATACAATCAAAAATAAGTCAAACAACCTACATTGTCAATTCATAAGAGAAATAGTAACAGTGTATTTACTGCAAAGGATTTTGAATTTATTATTCTTAATATCTTATTTAATATAAAATATATAAAGCTGAATATATAAAAGATTAAGTAGCTTCATTATAAAGACTATTTACTTGCAATATTATAAAAAATTTTGTAAAAATTAAAAGTTAAAGCTTCTCTATTTCTTACATCTTGGTATATAATATCTTGCATAAGATAAAAGAAAATTACTTTATAATTCTTACTTTAATTATATTAAAGATATTCTATTGAAACTGCAACACATCCATCTATTTCATATTAATATAAAGTATTGTAAAAAAAAAATATTTTCACCATGGCAAGCCATGCTACCACTAGCAAAAATTATAACATGAAACTAATCGATACCCTTTATAATAAAATACCAGCTTTTACTGATCTCTTTGATGAAGAAACATGGTATACATTCGTTGCTTGTTTCATAGCAGGCACTTTTCTAGTTGCTTTTATACTTTCCAGGTTTATTACATTACATCCAGTCGATTAAATTCATCATAATATAATGTTATTTATTCTAATATAATGCTAATTCTTATTCATGCTTTCATAAATATGTAACATAAATAAACAAATATGTAGCACCAGAATATGTATTTATAAAGATTGAAAAATGTTTTCATACTCTTTTATCATTTTACTTTAATTATTTAAAGATTAAAATTATGTTGAAGAAACATTTCATTACTTTACTCATTTCTCTACTTTATCAACTAAGAACTTTTTGGATTATATACCATAAGGATCAATAATCCAATACTATTCTAATGTAATTATATATATCTACTGTAATCTTATAAAAAAGAAAAAAAAAAAAAAGAAACATAGCCTATGTCATATAAGTATTGAAGCAATATATATTTTACAACAAATTAATTAGGCTTTTGCTATAAAGTAATAGATTTTATCTAATGCCATCATTAAAATTAAAAAGATCAGATTTTCTTGATTCATTTTTAACAAAAAAAATTTTATAACATCTTTATAAAAAAAATGTAAAAAAGTAGTATACAAAAATAGAATGATAAAATATTAAAACTTAGATATTACAATTGATTGATTTTAAATTAGAACAATAAGATAATAATAACTGTCCCTTTAATTGTTTTCCTAATTATGTATCTATTGTGTTACAATGCTATTATAGATCTCAATTTGATTTCTTTTCCCCTTCCCCCATCTTTTTCTTCACGCATGCGCGCACATCGCATCGTTCCGATACATCTCCTTTATTATTATACCACTCGAATCAAAATCGACGTTCCATTAATATCTTTTGAAATTCTTTTAAAAAACATTTCATTCGAAACGATTTAACATTTTAAATAATAACGTAAATAATGTGAACAATTTTTACATTCCGTGAAATTATAATGTGTAAGATGGTCATTTTAATTTGGAGGAAAAAAAAAAGAAAAAGAAAAAAAAAGAGATGTGAAATATGAATCAAAGATCATAATGAAAGTCTTATTGAATAATTTCATAGAAATGAAGAAAACAAAAGCTACTTGTAAGTATTAGGATAAAGTAAGTGGTATATAAGGAAGAATGTTATCTACTTGTGCTGACATCTGATGGGGAAGAAACGCGACACTCCAAAGGGCTGAGAGAAAAGAGAGAGAGAGCACGTGTATTTAACGAGTAACTTTAATCTCTCCTTAATTTCAATATTATAAGAAAAAGACGAGGACGGTTTCGAAAGTTTCGCGATCGATTAACAATTCTTTCTATTTAAGATTTTTCAATTACCCTTTCCTCTTCTTTTCTTTTCTTTTCTTTCGACCTTTGAAATTGTGCTCATGTGAGACTATCGTAAACGCGTATGAATAAGAACTACATATACATCTCGTACAGGTTATACATATCAAGATATTTATTACTATTCTTCGTGGAAGATTCGTGATCATTCTTCATTAAGGAAGACAAAGGTATTTACACACAAAAAGAAAAAAAAGAAAAAAAAAAAAAAAAAAAAAAAAAAAAAAGAAAAAAAAAAATTTTGTTTAACTAATAGCAAACAACACGTGCGATATAATAACCTCAAAAATATAGTTGAAAATTAATAGGAAAGTGGACATAATGATTTAGAAGTTCCTTTAGAATGACGAAATAACACGAAAATATTCAATGAATTCCTCGTCAATTAGCAGGGCTAAGAACATTTTAACGGAGCTACCGAGGGTTCTACTTGTAAAATAAATTCACAAAAGCGACATAATATTTATCGATTATGTATATATTAAAATTTTGATTAATTCATTAAAAATTAATTTAATCGTTATTATTCGAGTATCAGGAAGATTAACAGGAAAATACGATTAATACGATTTTTAAAGAGGCACGCACAGGCAATTGTAGAGATTTATTTTTTTTTTTTGGCGATTCGTATTCATTCAAACGTATCACCGATTATTTTGATAATCGACGATATCGATTCGAAGTTGTATCGATCTAACTTGCATGCAATCGAATTCTAATTCAAAAATTTTTGATAGTTCGGAATATATGATCATGTATGAAAGCTCCTTTATAGTAAAAAAAAAAAAAACGTGGGAAAGATATGCAAAAAATATAACACGAATACTATTTTAACGGATATGACGGAGAATCCATGGCAAAGTGAACACAATGAACGCATAAAAGTATGTGCGTAATAGGATGTAAATATGTATATATAATATAAATACACTTACACATGCGCATACACATTAAGATTCGTGAAGCCCTGTTGCGTTTCACAAAAGTGTTCTTATTTTCTTTAATAGCTTTGTGGTATACGTTAAAATCGATCCTTGGACAAAGGAGATACCAATTAATCGTTAGTGGTTTTCTCATCGAACAAAAACACTTTATCTTGAGGATCCTCAATTATCAAAAAGGAAATTTGCAAACATCGAGTTTCGAATTTTCTCGCGTGTCTTGAATAATTTTCGAGACCATAGGAAAAAAAAAACAATCATAAAAGAACGAAGAAGAAAGGGACTTCTCATTCAATAACCAATAATTTTCATCATTTCGTCGAACCTTCGAAACGTATATTATATATATCTTTTAACGTATATATATATATATATATATATATATATATATATCTTTTCTACACTATATACAAAATCTTTGGAACTTAAAGCAGCACATCGAAGATATATTTCCGATGCACACATTACGGCGGAATGATCTCGAATAAGAAATAACGTTCTCTTGATACAACTGGCAATAATATTATAACCTATATTTGAAGTCGCAAGAAAGGCAAGAAAGAAACGGATATGCTTTGAAAGAGCAAAAAAGGAAGAATCATATATATACATATACATATACATATATATATATAGATGTCATGCGTACAATACTACGCACACAGGTGTTCAAAAGAAAAACTATTAGTAGAATTACGATTCCTTTTGTTATCATTTGAAAATATAATATAAATGATAACGCGACAAGTATAACACAGTTGTCATCGTTTTGAAAATGTAAAAATATACAATGTATAAAACACGTAATTATTAAAAGATACGTAAATGTGAAGGCTGAGAAAGAAAGAATACAAAAAAGAAAAAAAGAAAAGAAAAGAAAAGAAAAAGGAAAAAAAAAGACAAAGAGAAAAAACGAATTATCATCTAACAAAAATACAAACTCACCTTTGATATATTTTCTTCTTCTTTTTTTTTTTTTTCCCCCCGTAAACAACTAATGCGTTCGTCTTCGACGTAGATATAACTCGTAAGAGAATACACACAAGCACATCGAACCAGGTGCGTTCGCGCCAACAACAATTTGGTCACGTTTATTCTTTTTTTTTTCTTTCTTTTTTTTCTTTTCTTTTCATAAGATCCTGTCTTTCTTTTCCTTCTTCTTCTTCTTCTTTCACCGGGTCTTTCACGTGCCGAGTTTCATTTTCTTTCGATTTTTCACTTGAAACTAAGTGAGAGAAAGAGAGAGAGATAGAGAGAGGGGGAAGAGAGAAAGAGAGAGAGAGAGAGAGAGAAAGAAAAAGAGAGAGAAGGAGAAAATTAAGGGAAGAAGGGGGAAAGAGAAGAACGGAGGAAGTAAACTACATTGTTGCACTCGCGAGAAAACGTATGATTCACTGGTGAAAGAAAAATAAAAAAGAGAGAGGAAAAGAGGAAAAGAGAGAGAGAGAAGAGAGAGAGAGAGAGAGAAGAGAGAGAGGAAAAGAGAAAAAGAAGGAAATTATCTTCTAGCACTGTTCGTCGCGCAAACGTTGCCACGCGTGACGGTGATGGTAAACTTTGATGTGGCACTGAACGACACAAGAGGGATACGACGACAAAATTGACAACGACGACAACGACGACGACGACGACGGACAACGACGATCAGCAGTATAGCAGCAGCAACAGCAACGACAATGTACGTCGTTCTGACCGTGAATGAACGGAGGTTCGAGCGCGCGCGAGCTAGCGAGCCTCCACTCTTCCGGATCCTCTACGTGTCTTCTTTCTCACTCTGTTCCATCCTGACATATATATTTTCTTTCTTTATCGCGCCTTTTCCCACCTCCACCTTCCACCTTCACTCCTCCCTGCCGAGCGCTTCGTAGGCTGCAAAAAAAAGGGAAAGGGGGTAAAGGAAAAAAAGGAAATAAAAAAAATATATATATATATATATATATATATATATATATATATATATATATAATCAAAGCATATCTCGGGAGATTTTGACGTTGGGAACGTTTTTCTTTTTTCTCTTTTTGTCTTTTTCATTCTCTAAAATATTATTCAAACAACAATCGACAAATCGAATCGAATAGAATCGATAAAAGATACCGAAGTTAAAAATGATTACGATAAATGAACGAGAACGAGCCAATAGAAGAAAGTGGTATCATTGAGATTTGTTTGCTTTTCTCAATGATCCATGATATAGAGCAACTCGGCACGTTTTTCCGCTCGAACGAGACGCATTCGATTGAAAAACACACGCCTTTGTCTTATCCGTTTTAATATCGATTGTCATTGCCCTTTTTTTTGCGAGGCGAGGCGAGGAAAATGTACCAGGCGATATTCAGAGACTGATATTCGTTCGACGAATGTTATTATTATTATTACTACTATCATTATTATCATCATTATCATCATTATTATCATTATCATTATTATTATTATTATTATGATTATTGTTACCGTTACTATTATCATTATTATTGTTACTATTATCGTCAAGAACAACTCGTAAATAATCTATAAAATAATTTATTTTCGTTTCGGCGTTAAAAATCGAATTATTATCTGAGAAATGCAGAGGGGAATTACAGAAAGTTGGCCAGATCGATATAATGAAAACGTAATTATAGAGATTTTAGGTTAAACGTTGATTTTTTAACTGCACATTATTTTCCTCTTGACGAATTAGATCCGGTGAAAAAATTCAAGATAATTTCGAAAGAGAAAGTAATGCGAATGTCGCGAATATTCCGATTTGATTTCCTTCGTGAAATAGATTGTGCAGGGATTTCGGTTTATCTCTCGTCATCGCGATTGGCCGATATCTATTCGATAGGAAAGATACCGTGCGAATGCTGTTGCGAAGGAGAAGAGGAATAATCGAAGAAAAGAGAGACGAGAAAGCTCTCTCCCCACTTTCTCTCTCTCTCTCTCTCTCTCTGTTCACTCGTACATCTTCGGTATCGCTCGTTAAAAAAGCTCGGTAAAATTCGGATCGACTTTGAAGGCGCGTAAATCGGGATTATTTGAACGGCGAATCGCGCCTTGTTCTTCGTTCATGATTTCCCCTCTATCGTTCTTGGGCATTTCTGATCGAGAAAAATTAAAAGATCGGGAAAAATTAACTCGTAAAGCGTAAATAAAGTGTTGGTATGTGTTTCGAGAAAATAAAAACGGAGTTTTCTTCGTCGCCGTCGTCGTCGTCGTCGTCGTCGTTGACGTACTCCGGGGAAACCGAGGAAAGGGCAAGAAGTGGGTCGGTCGCGCGGCCGTCGACGTATCGCGAATCGCTCGACGATGATTCACGCTGGTTGCCGTCTTCTCTTCGACGGCCATCGACCGGCACGAACGAACAATCCTCTAGACGATGTTTAATAACCTCCGACGGCAGTGAAAGAAGACACGTTTCTCGATATCGATGAGGAATTAAAGAAAGAATGACCGATGAGATAGCGCGCGAAAATTCATTCAATCGTTGAATCACCAAAACGAAAAAGGATTTTAAACATTGTTTCAATTAAACAAGGACAGAAACTTTATTATCCGGTTGATTCTCGTCGCGTGTACGTAACCACGTAGTTAATATACACGCACAATATACACGATATTCCTTTTCGCGCGTCTTTTCTTCTCAAAACCGACTTGACACTCCAGACTTCCTTTTATTTTTTTCTTTTGTTTTTATTTTTCGTATGGAACAGAAGAAAAAGAAAAGAAAAATCGAGCGCGCGCGCGCGCGCGCGATAGAGAGAGAGAGAGAGAGAGAGAGAGAGAGATGGAGAAGGAGAGCTGGAAAAGGGAAAGAAAAAGGAAAGAAAGAATGGCAACTTTCACTTGCGAGGCCTTCGCGAGAGAGAAACAGAGATGAGAGGAGAGGAGAGGGAGGAATATGAAGGGGGAGATGGTCGAGAAGAGCGGCACGGGGCCGCCAAAAACGATCACCAAGTGTCAAGGTTGCTATTCTACGCGACGTATGCGCGCGTCTGTGTATATGTACATGTTCGTTCGTATGTGCGTCCACGTGTGTAAATGTGTGCGCGCGGAGGAAAGCACGCGCGCGCGCGCCTGCTACGTGGTCCGGTGCCGCTCGTTCACTCGCGCGCGCGCGCGCGTCTTCTCTCTCTCTCTCTCCCTCTTTTGCTCTCGGTTAACTCGCTTACTCGGCACGCACATAGACGGAGCTGCAGAAAGAGAAAGAAAGAGAGAGAGAGAGCAGTGAGAGAGAAAGAGATGGAGTGAACCCACGTCTTCGGTCGCGGTTCCTTCGTCTCTCCCGCCAGGCCAGCCTTCCTACCCTCGACTACCACCTCTATCCTCTATAGCCCACTACTAACACCTACCTATGTATATATATCTAGATATCTAGAGAGTGGCGCTATCACAACAATGCCATTATAGCGGGGTATCCGTTTCCCTCTGTTACACAGCGTGACACAGGGCCGCGACAACGCGACACGATTCTAACGAAATAAGCGAGAAATCCGGCTGGACGAGCGATCGTCAACAGGGCCAAGAGACGCGCACAATTCCGACGTAAATTCGACGCGAGAGTTTTTAGTGAAATTCGCCGAACGCTTCGGCGATCAACATTCGCGAGTAGGGGATCCCCCACCACGCTACTTGTTCGATTCGAACGGTATTGCGCGTGCGCCGACCCCTCAGGAACGTACCCCTTACGACGTCCCCCTACGCTATCGTTTTTGTTACTAGGGCGCCGCTTGTTTACAAACACCGTAGCGAGAGACGAAGACCGACGACGTGTTCTCGTCGCGCTCGCCGCCGACCGATGCGCGCTCAACCTTTCGAATCTACTTCCGAGTGCCGCCATACACTCCTCTCTTTTTTTTGATCCTATCTCTGTCACAGATTTTATATTCCTCTTATATATCCTAACACACACACACATATACACATACACGTATATATGTATGGACATATCTTGTATATCAACATGACATTATTTCACTACTTAATATTTTTTTTTTTTAAACGTAGCATCATTTGATCGTTCATATGACATTCGTCGTTCTAATCGCGATTCATCGAGTGACATCAATGACACAAATTGTAATAGAATCTTTTTAATTCGTCGGTTTGTATTTATTGTACAAATAAGAATTATTTTTAATGAACGAACTCGCTTTATACTAATGAATTTGAAGTAATGACAGGATTCATGCGCAATCATTTACTATTATATATAATGCGTTTATCGTAATAACGAGTGTTCCGCGCAATAAATAAAAGATAAGTGAAATAAATTTAAATTAATCGACTTTGTCTACTACCTTATATTGATCCGATACTGAGCAATGATATAATCGACTGACCAATGAAGCAGTTTGCTGAATTTCATGCGCACAATTTATACGACGCACGCGGTGTCTTACGACATGTTACAAAACATTGAAATTAATCTCTTTCGTGATATATACGATTATAAAACTTTCCTTGATATTAAATTATTGATTAAAGATTAAAGAGAAAAAGAAACCTAACCTTTAAAAAAACGTATGTATCCGCGGTCCAAAGTATAATACGATCGTAAAAACGATAAATGATATTATATATCGATTGTAACATGTGACCAATAACGTTGTTGTGCGCATTAATCGAAGGTATTTCATTGGTCAACATTTTCCCGCCTTTAAAATCAATTCATTTTAAATGCGACAATCCTTATGCGAAAATTAATAAATGGTAATTGACGCGCTAAACATGTTTCTCCGGTAAATGTCCTCTCCCTCTCTATGGAAAATGCATCAATAATAATGAAATATTTGCATTTTATTGATTATTAAATTGTAAATATACATATTCTTAATGACGATGAAATATAATAGGATAATATTAATAAAGTCGAACTATTATTAAACGTTTATATTTTTAGGGGGGGAAAAAAAGCAGTAAAGAGTAATTAAAGGTTTTGTTAGTGCAAACAATTCGTATAAATAAACGTTATGTTTAAAAATCAAATAATTTCTTTTAAATATCTCAATAATGAAACCTAATCGTTGGAGAAACGTTTATTATACATAGTCGACTAATACGTACATAATATATATCAAATTTCTGAATCATGAATTACGTTTATATATATTTATATAAAAAAAAAAAAAAAAAAAAAAAAAATAAGAAAAGGAAAAAAATAAAGAACATAAAGAAAAAGGAAAAGAAATTCTTATGGTTTAATCCAAAGGCATGCCGTCGTCATCGTCTTCCTTCTTGCCAGGACTATCGCCTGGGGATCGTTTCTTCTCTTCTTGTCCTTGTTGCGCTTGTCCTTGTCCGCTCTTGGCTTCTGTCTCCAAAGCGGTGACGAACTCTTCGATGTTACCGCTGGTGGCTGCATTGATCGCATCAGTTCCCAAGCCAAATTGACGGATGACTGGGCCCGTCTGGCCCGACTGCAAAGCAGACCAGAACATTGATAGCGCCTGGGAGAACTGGGGAGACGATAGCGTGGTACACAGGTTGTCTCCAGGTGGTAAGTGTGCGGAAATAGCACGTTCCAGAGATTCCGTTGTCGTAATCGTCGTTGAGATGACATTCGTCAGCTCTGTCGCTATGCCCCTCTGCTGGATAATAAGCCGTGCTGTAGCTGAACGAAAGCAACAAATAATCCCAGAGAAATTCCCCCAACTGCTCAACAGAGCCAGTGTCTCCGACAGCCAGGAAAAGTTCATACGCAGAATTGTATTAAATAAAGAAAATACCATACCGACGTCCTGCTTTTTCTTTCTTTTTTTTTTTTTTTTTTTTCCTTTTTTTTTCGTTATTTCCTCAATATATATATATATATATATATATATATATATATATATATATATATATATCTGTATATAGTGACCTAGTTATAGGCGATACCGTAAGTTCTCCGACATGAAGAAATTTTACAATAACCCATAAACCAAACTTTGTATAATGTTAATTTTATAATTTTAAGAAAACACTGCGATCATTGAGCAATTGAAGTAAACTTGATAGTAACTTCACATCACAGACCAAAGGTATCAAAGTAACATTAATATATAACGTATAAAGCACCATTCACTTTGCAAATCTCTTTGAATAATATCAATGTAAACGGACCAAAACATTGAACTAAACAATATTGATACTAAAGTGGTCAGACAGTGTGTCTCTCATAGATTATTAAAGCCTTACAAAGTCCTGACAGACGTGAGCAGCATTCTGTAAAATTGTATCGCACGTTGGCTTCTATCCACAGTCATATGACTGTTAATAGTATTATCCACAGACAAATATGAACTGACAAATATAGTATCTAAACTAGTTAATAACAAAAACGTGAAATATCACTGTACCACTACACACTATGTATATAATTTTACATTAACTTTACACTCCTAGATTTAAATACCATTAGTTCTCTTTGAGAAATTTACAACAAAAAAAGAAACAAAGAAAAAAGAAAAACTTTTATATCGTTTTAATCGATTAATAAGAAAAAAATATTCAAGATTTTCAAAATGCAAAATAAATTGTACTTGTTAAACAGGTTGTATTATCAAGAATGGCACATCCCTGATAGTGATAGAGCTGTAAAATAGATATAATTAGTATCAAGATAGATAACTCCTTTCAGATGAATCATCTAAAACGTCCATATATAAAAATTTCTATCTAGGAGCACGTAAAGCTTTGTAAACACATGTTCTTAATAACGATATCATCACATTAATAAAGAATAATTAATTTTGTACACCTATCTATGTGCCTGAAAATATAAATATATTTTTCATAATATCTTTACATCTAACATAATATATTTCTACATATTTTGTCAAAGAATAAATATCAAATTTTTTACCAAACATAAAATTTGTGCAAAACTTAATAAAATCTACAATAAAATGTCATGTATAAGACAGATTACAAAACAGGTACTTAAAAAAAATATCAGATAATCTTTGACTAAATATGCAAGTCACACACAAAGATATGTAATAATCAAGCTGATAAAGAAAAATATGATATTACCTGAACAACAGCTTCTGCTCCAGCTGGTGTTGGAATTTCTGAGAGGAAACTTTGTAGGTCACTCAATTGAATTCTATTGTTAGAACCTGAAGTAGTCACAGGTGTAGATGGTGCTGTTGTTCTTGGTGATGATTTATTATTACCTAAATTATAATTTCCAATGTTGTGAACCTATTTTAACTAAATCATATTTTTACTCACTGGAAGATTTCGTAGTTTCAGTAACGGTAGAAGGTGCTGGAGTTTGAGATACCGGTGGTCTGGCGACGCTTGTTGTAACTGGTGATGATGCAGTTGTAGTAGACGCTCTAGTACTTTGGATACCATGAGGTCTGCTCATAGTTCCCAATAAGCTGCCCAGTCCAATTTGTCCAACGCCACCGAACAATTGCATTAATTGCTGTTGAGACATATTATTTAATAGATTATGAAAATCTCCATCTGGATTTGCATTGCCGCTTCTTTGAGAACCAGGAGTAGGTGGATTATTTAAAACTTCATTAATTTTCCTACAATATTCTTCATCTTTATCAGTCTTCAGATCCTGAAATATAAAAAAATATTAAAAAATTTAACATAAAATTATATATATAGATTATTGATTAAATTTAATTATAATCATTTACTTGTAGCCAGAAGAAGAATTTTCTACTTGATGACTTGAATCGCAACAGATATACCCTACCAGTTTTACATGCTGGAACGTGCTTAAATTCACAATCATCGGGGAAAATTATGAGATCCTGAAAAACGATAGAATTCTATAAGAATAGGCACGAAAAGTTATATTTCGTTTTTACACGATTATTACAATTTTTTAATTTTCAACAAAGAAATGTGTGAAATAAGTCTTACATCTTCTACAATTCCTGTTGTACGATCTTTCCAACAAAAATGCATTAATTGATCGTCAGATTGGTGAACGTAAACCTGTCCCTTTCGTGTGTCTGGATAAACCATTTTCCCCTTCATAGTCATTTTCCCTGCTTTGAATTCAACCAAATTCTTCGACGCATTTCGCGACGGATTATTTCCAAATAGGGGCCCCATGCACATAACTTGTATAAACCAACTTGTGTGAAAAAATTTTTTTATTCAAACCGTTAACGTATCTTTCTCAAACACCGAGCACACTCGGTAGGCGTATGTGCTGCGATCCGTAGAGAGAACAATTGACCACTATGACGGTGCATCTCAAAATGGCGGTTTCCTATTAAGGCTGATTTTTATATGTACATTGGAAACTAAACTTTCTTTGCAAATTTATTATTATTAATTTTTTTTTTTTTATTATATTTTTCTTTCCTAATAAAAAGATTTCAGTTAAAAAGACGATAAATTTGTTTGCCTTCTGTCACGAATTAATTTGAAAATTTTACTTATTTTATACGGCGATAAAATATATTATTATAATTGTCATAAGATTATACGATTAAAAATATAGTAAACATTTTTATAAGTACTATCATGTTTACGCCTTTAAGTCTGACAATTAATTGGATTGAATCAGATTAAATTGGATCATCAAAATAAATTCAACATCCAACTATTTGTTTTTATATTTATTTTTAATCGTTTATAATACAAAATTGAGTATCAAAGTACTGTCTAAACGATTATA